GAACATGGTCGCAGATTCGTCCGACGACAACCCGAAAGGCAAAGGCGGTGCTGAGAAGAAAAAGGAGCGCACCGCGGGCCAGTTCTTCCATGTTCGAGACGAAGGGGAGCAAAGAGACGGTTCTGCCAAGGTTGGAGCAGAGCTGCACCCCCTGGACTTTTGGGTGTTGGACACGGGCGCTGCGTGGACGATGACGCCGCGCAAGGACCTGCTAGACGACCTACGCCCTGCACCAATCTCTGAGGTGTGCTCTGCATCTGGACACGCGTTGAAGGTGGCTGTTGCGGGACGAGCTGCTTTCAAGGGAGCGGATGGCAAGCCGGTGGTGCTGCACAACGTTCTCCTCGTTCCCGACCTCAAGGCCAACCTCATCTCCCTCCGTAAGCTCGCCAAGGCTGGGGTGAGTACTAGCACGGATGGGGCACGCACTTATAAGGGGCAGTTGGGCAACCGGGTGCTTTGGGATCTGCACGAGAGCAAGGATGTGTATAGATCCATGTGGCAGCTGCCGGCATTGGCGTGGCACGGTGGGGGGCAGGCTAGAGAGGGGTCTGCATCCCAGGGGGAGTGCAACGCCGTGGGAGCCGTTGGTGTGAAAGTGTCGGCCAGATCTGGGGAGACGGATTGGGCAATGGCACACCGACGCTTGGGGCATGTGGCAATGCCTTTGCTGAAGCAGCTAGAGAAGGATGGAGCCGTTAAAGGCTTGAAGCTGAACGGACAGCCACCTGATGACAACTGTGAAATCTGCTTGCTATCCAAATTCACCCGTTTCCCCTTCCATAGTGTGGCTGGCAGGATCAAGAAGCATTTAGAGCTGGTCCACATGGACTTGGTGGGGCCGCTGCCGGTTCAGGGACACAAAGGGGAGCGGTACTTTCTGACCATAGTGGATGATTGAAGCAGGCTTATGTGGGCATATCCGCTGAAGCAGAAGGACCACGCCGCCTCTACGATACGGGAAGATTGGCTGCCGTTCGTAGAGAAGCAAGCGGAGTGTGTGGTGAAGCGGATTAGGACAGACCGGGGTGGTGAGTTCCTTGGAGCTGAGATGACGGCCTGGCTTAAGAAGCAGGGCATTCAGAGGGAGCTGACCACAGCTTACACCTCACAGTCCAACGGTGTAGCAGAACGGGCGAACCGGACCATTCTGGAGACAGCTAGGGCGCTGCTCATAGAATCTGGGCTTGGCAGCTCCATGTGGCCACACGCTGTTCGGCACGCTACCGTCGCTAGGAACAGGGTACTCACCAAGGTTGGTGATGACCTGTGGGTCCCTTTGGAGAGGTGGCTTGGGAGGAAGCCGCCGGTGTACATGCTAAGGGTGTTCGGTTGCATGGCAGTCGCCCACGTCCCCAAGACCTACCGAAGGGTGTTCGGTTGCATGGCATCGCCATGTACTCTGATTCCACGGAAGAGAGTGCCGTCTCCGTCTGCTTCTTGGACCTCCAACTAACAGGTCCTCCCTCAACTACGCAGATGTATCCTCCCACAGATGAGGAATCCTCCTTCTCAGAAGCCCACGTAGCATTGGTAAAGCAAGTGAGAAACAACTTGCCTTCTCCAAGCCGCCCCCCCCTTCTCTTTCAGCACCTCAACCCCTTTCTGCTTCACCTGTGCAGATGCGGAGTATTGAACTCCAATGCTTGGGTGAGAGTTCAGGTACTTCACCACACGCTCAGCTGCATCCCCCTGCTCCTCTGATGGATTCTGCACCACCGTTGCCAGCTGCCCAACAGAGAAAGAGATGTCGGGCCTCGTGTGAACCGCTGCATAGAAGAGGCTGCCCACCAAGGACTGAAATTGCTGCTGCTCCTTGGCTTCAACCCCTTCATCCTCTGCAGCCTTCACAAGCTTGAATTCTGCTGGCAGGGGAGTTGCAACCTTGCGCTCATTCTCAATCCCATACTTCTCCCCCAGCTCCTTGATGAACTTCTCCTGGTGCAGCTTCAACCACCTGTGATCTGGATCCCTCTCCACGTGCATCCCGAGGTAGTACTTTACCTCCCCAAGGTTCTTGCACTTGAAGTTCTCCATCAGCTGCTGCTGCACTTTCTGGATCTCCTTCATGCTGCTGCTGAAGAGAAGAATGTCGTCCACGTAGACCAGAAACATCACCAGCTTCTCCTTCTCCCCCTTGTAAAATAGTCTCTCATCGCAGCTGCTGGTCCTGAATCCCATCTCCTCTAAAACAGCTGCCAACTTCTGGTACCAGCAGCGTGGCGCCTGCTTCAATTCGTAGATGGACTTTTTCAGCTTGCACACCCTTCCCGTACCATCCTCATACCCAGGCGGCTGCGTCATGTACACATCCTCCTCTAAAATCCCATTGAGGAATGCCGTTGATATATCCATCTGAATGATGAATTTCCCACTAACGGCTGCATCTGCCAACAAGACACGGAGGGTAGGAGGTTTGGCAGTGGGAGCAAAGATCTCATTGAAGTCCTGCTTCTCCTTCTGCATAAACCCCTTAGCCACCAGCCTACTCTTGTAGATGGTGACCTGTCCCTTGTCATCGGTCTTGATCCTTAGCACCCACTTGCACTGTACGGCTTTCTTCCCCTCAGGCAGCACCACTAGATCCCATGTCCCATTCTCTAGCAGGCTCTGGTACTCAGCATCCCTAGAAACCAGCCACTTCTCCCTATCTGGTCCAGCTAATGCCTCCTCCATGCTAAATGGTTCCTCTGGTGCAGGGGCAAGAAAACAGTAGGCAGGTTCATCCTCCTCATCCGGGTCATAGCAATGCGGTAGAATCAGCAATGCCTCCTCATTCCCAAGCTGCTGCTCCGCTACACCTGATCCTGCAGTCAGCTTCTTAGTAGCCATACGGGTACGTCCTGGCCTGGAGACGGGTGTCTCCCATCCCTTCTTAGTTTTCCCCTGCTGCTGCTCTGCTCCCTCGGATCCAGCAGCTCCACTAGTGCTACCGCCAGTCTCCACACCATTTTCTCCACCAGCAGGTGCCTCCTGTACCCTCTCTCCATCACCATTCCCTGCAGCTGCCTCATCTCCCTCCTCCCACACACTAGGAGTCAGGTCCAGCTGCATGGTGATCTGCTCCATCTGCTGGGACACCCTGGCCTCCGGCTGTTTCTCCCAGCTCCCATACATCATGCCCTCAATGAATTTCACATCCCTGCTGTCAAACAACACCCTTGGATGGTTCCCACAGCAGCCATCCCTTGCTCTCAGCAGCCAGCCCCAAATGCACACACCAGATTGCACTTGCCCGTACCAACCATTATATACCCGTATGGTTGGTAGTAAGAGTAAGTGCGCTACTTACCTGTATGGTTGGTACTAGAGTAAGTGCGTTACCTACCCGTATGGTTGCTACTATAAGTAAGTGCGTTATATACCCGTATGGTAGTAAGAATAAGTGCGTTACTTACTTGTATGGTTGGTACTAATAGTAAGTGCGTTACTTGCCCGTATGTGTTGATACTAAAAGTAAGTGCGTTACTTACCCTTATGGTTGGTACTAAGAGTATGTCGTTACTTACCTGTATGATTGGTACCAAGGGTAAGTTCGTCAATTACCCAGAAGGTTGGTTCTAAGAGTAAGTGCGTACTTACCCATACGGTTGGTACTAAGAGTAAGCGCATTACGTACCTGTATGGTTGGTACTAGGAGTAAGTGCTTACTTACCCGTATGGTTGGTAATAACAGTAAGTGCGTTACGTACCCGTATGGTTGGTAATAACAGAAAGTGTGTTACGTACCCGTATGTTCGGTACTAAGAGTAAGTGCGCTACTTACTGTACGGTCGGTACTAAGAGTAAGTGCGTTACTTGCCTATATGGTTGGTAAGAGTAAGTGCGTTACTTACCTGTATGGTTGGTACTAAGAGTAAGTGCGTTACTTACCCGTATGGTTGGTACTAAGAGTAAGTGCGCTACTTACCCATATGGTTGGTACTAAGAGTAAGTGCGTTACTTGCCTATATGGTTGGTACTAAGAGTAAGTGCGCTACTTTCCTGCATGGTTGGTACTAAGAGTAAGTGCGTTACTTGCCTATATGGTTGGTACTAAGACTAAGTGCGCTACTTACCTGTATGGTTGGTACTAGAGTAAGTGCGTTACCTACCCGTATGGCTGGTAATAATAGTAAGTGCGTTATTTACCCGTATGGTTGGAAGTAAGATTAAGTGCGTTACTTACCCGTATAGTTGGTACTAAGAGTAAGTGCGCTACTTACCTGTATAGTTGGTACTAAAGTAAGTGCGTTACCTACCCGTATGGTTGGTACTAAAAGTAAGAGCGTTATATACCCGTATGGTTGGTAGTAAGAGTAAGTGCGCTACTTACCTGTATGGTTGGTACTAAGAGTAAGTGAGTTTCTTACCCGTATGGTTGGTTCTAAGAGTAAGTGTGTTACTTGCCTATATGGTTGGTACTAAGAGTAAGTCGCTACTTACCTGTATGGTTGGTACTAGAGTATGTGCGTTACCTACCCGTATGGTTGGTTCTAAGAGTAAGTGTGTTACTTGCCTATAGGTTGGTACTAAGAGTAAGTGCGTTACTTACCTGTATGGTTGGTACTAGAGTAAGTGCGTTACCTACCCGTATGGCTGGTAATAAAAGTAAGTGCGTTATTCACCCGTATGGTTGGTAGTAAGATTAAGTGCGTTACTTACCCGTATAGTTGGTACTAAGAGTAAGTGCGCTACTTACCTGTATAGTTGGTACTAAAGTAAGTGCGTTACCTACCCGTATGGTTGGTACCAAAAGTAAGAGCGTTATATACCCCTATGGTTGGTAGTAAGAGTAAGTGCACTACTTACCTGTATGGTTGGTACTAGAGTAAGTGCGTTACCTACCCGTATGGTTGGTACTATAAGTAAGTGCGTTATATACCCGTATGGTAGTAAGAATAAGTGCGTTACTTACCTGTATGGTTGGTACTAAGAGTAAGTGCGTTACTTGCCCGTATGTGTTGATACTAAAAGTAAGTGCGTTACTTACCCGTATGGTTGGTACTAGGAGTATGTCGTTACTTACCTGAATGATTGGTACCAAGGGTAACTTCGTCAATTACCCAGAAGGTTGGTTCTAAGAGTAAGTGCGTTACTTACCCATACGGTTGGTACTAAGAGTAAGCGCGTTACGTACCTGTATGGTTGGTACTAAGAGTAAGTGCTTACTTACCCGTATGGTTGGTAATAACAGTAAGTGCGTTATTTACTGGTAATAACAGAAAGTGTGTTACGTGAGGAGGATAGAAGCATGTAGGAGGAGGATAGAAGCTTGTAGGAGGAGGATAGAAGCATGTGGGAGGAGGATAGAAGCATGTGGGAGGAGGATAGAAGCATGTAGGAGGAGGATAGAAGCATGTAGGAGGAGGATAGAAGCATGTGGGAGGAGGATAGAAGCATGTGGGAGGAGGATAGAAGCATGTAGGAGGAGGATAGAAGCATGTAGGAGGAGGATAGAAGCATGTAGGAGGAGGATAGAAGCATGTGGGAGGAGGATAGAAGCATGTAGGAGGAGGATAGAAGCATGTAGGAGGAGGATAGAAGCATGTAGGAGGAGGATAGAAGCATGTAGGAGGAGGATAGAAGCATGTAGGAGGAGGATAGAAGCATGTAGGAGGAGGATAGAAGCATGTGGGAGGAGGATAGAAGCATGTGGGAGGAGGATAGAAGCATGTGGGAGGAGGATAGAAGCATGTAGGAGGAGGATAGAAGCATGTGGGAGGAGGATAGAAGCATGTGGGAGGAGGATAGAAGCATGTAGGAGGAGGATAGAAGCATGTGGGAGGAGGATAGAAGCATGTAGGAGGAGGATAGAAGCATGTGGGAGGAGGATAGAAGCATGTAGGAGGAGGATAGAAGCATTTTGGAGGAGGATAGAAGCATGTGGGAGGAGGATAGAAGCATGTAGGAGGAGGATAGAAGCATGTGGGAGGAGGATAGAAGCATGTAGGAGGAGGATAGAAGCATGTGGGAGGAGGATAGAAGCATGTGGGAGGAGGATAGAAGCATGTGGGAGGAGGAGAGAAGCATGTAGGAGGAGGAGAGAAGCATGTAGGAGGAGGATAGAAGCATGTGGGAGGAGGATAGAAGCATGTGGGAGGAGGATAGAAGCATGTAGGAGGAGGATAGAAGCATGTAGGAGGAGGACAGAAGCATGTAGGAGGAGGATAGAAGCATGTGGGAGGAGGATAGAAGCATGTGGGAGGAGGATAGAAGCATGTGGGAGGAGGAAGGGGGAAGGATAGAAGCATGTAGGAGGAGGATAGAAGCATGTGGGAGGAGGATAGAAGCATGTGGGAGGAGGATAGAAGCATGTGGGAGGAGGATAGAAGCATGTGGGAGGAGGATAGAAGCATGTAGGAGGAGGATAGAAGCATGTAGGAGGAGGATAGAAGCATGTGGGAGGAGGATAGAAGCATGTGGGAGGAGGATAGAAGCATGTAGGAGGAGGATAGAAGCATGTGGGAGGAGGATAGAAGCATGTAGGAGGAGGATAGAAGCATGTAGGAGGAGGATAGAAGCATGTAGGAGGAGGATAGAAGCATGTGGGAGGAGGATAGAAGCATGTAGGAGGAGGATAGAAGCATGTGGGAGGAGGATAGAAGCATGTGGGAGGAGGATAGAAGCATGTGGGAGGAGGATAGAAGCATGTGGGAGGAGGATAGAAGCATGTGGGAGGAGGATAGAAGCATGTGGGAGGAGGATAGAAGCATGTGGGAGGAGGATAGAAGCATGTGGGAGGAGGATAGAAGCATGTGGGAGGAGGATAGAAGCATGTGGGAGGAGGATAGAAGCATGTGGGAGGAGGATAGAAGCATGTAGGAGGAGGATAGAAGCATGTGGGAGGAGGATAGAAGCATGTAGGAGGAGGATAGAAGCATGTGGGAGGAGGATAGAAGCATGTGGGAGGAGGATAGAAGCATGTGGGAGGAGGATAGAAGCATGTAGGAGGAGGATAGAAGCATGTAGGAGGAGGATAGAAGCATGTAGGAGGAGGATAGAAGCATGTGGGAGGAGGATAGAAGCATGTGGGAGGAGGATAGAAGCATGTGGGAGGAGGATAGAAGCATGTGGGAGGAGGATAGAAGCATGTGGGAGGAGGATAGAAGCATGTGGGAGGAGGATAGAAGCATGTGGGAGGAGGATAGAAGCATGTGGGAGGAGGATAGAAGCATGTGGGAGGAGGATAGAAGCATGTGGGAGGAGGATAGAAGCATGTGGGAGGAGGATAGAAGCATGTGGGAGGAGGATAGAAGCATGTGGGAGGAGGATAGAAGCATGTGGGAGGAGGATAGAAGCATGTGGGAGGAGGATAGAAGCATGTGGGAGGAGGACAGAAGCATGTGGGAGGAGGACAGAAGCATGTGGGAGGAGGACAGAAGCATGTGGGAGGAGGACAGAAGCATGTGGGAGGAGGACAGAAGCATGTGGGAGGAGGACAGAAGCATGTGGGAGGAGGACAGAAGCATGTGGGAGGAGGACAGAAGCATGTGGGAGGAGGACAGAAGCATGTGGGAGGAGGACAGAAGCATGTGGGAGGAGGACAGAAGCATGTGGGAGGAGGACAGAAGCATGTGGGAGGAGGACAGAAGCATGTGGGAGGAGGACAGAAGCATGTGGGAGGAGGACAGAAGCATGTGGGAGGAGGACAGAAGCATGTGGGAGGAGGACAGAAGCATGTGGGAGGAGGACAGAAGCATGTGGGAGGAGGACAGAAGCATGTGGGAGGAGGACAGAAGCATGTGGGAGGAGGACAGAAGCATGTGGGAGGAGGACAGAAGCATGTGGGAGGAGGACAGAAGCATGTGGGAGGAGGACAGAAGCATGTGGGAGGAGGACAGAAGCATGTGGGAGGAGGACAGAAGCATGTGGGAGGAGGACAGAAGCATGTGGGAGGAGGACAGAAGCATGTGGGAGGAGGACAGAAGCATGTGGGAGGAGGACAGAAGCATGTGGGAGGAGGACAGAAGCATGTGGGAGGAGGACAGAAGCATGTGGGAGGAGGACAGAAGCATGTGGGAGGAGGAGCAGAAGCATGTGGGAGGAGGACAGAAGCATGTGGGAGGAGGACAGAAGCATGTGGGAGGAGGACAGAAGCATGTGGGAGGAGGACAGAAGCATGTGGGAGGAGGACAGAAGCATGTGGGAGGAGGACAGAAGCATGTGGGAGGAGGACAAGCTGAGGAGACAGAAGCATGTGGGAGGAGGACAGAAGCATGTGGGAGGAGGAGAGAAGCATGTGGGAGGAGGACAGAAGCATGTGGGAGGAGGACAGAAGCATGTGGGAGGAGGACAGAAGCATGTGGGAGGAGGACAGAAGCATGTGGGAGGAGGACAGAAGCATGTGGGAGGAGGACAGAAGCATGTGGGAGGAGGAGAGAAGCATGTGGGAGGAGGACAGAAGCATGTGGGAGGAGGACAGAAGCATGTGGGAGGAGGACAGAAGCATGTGGGAGGAGGATAGAAGCATGTGGGAGGAGGACAGAAGCATGTGGGAGGAGGATAGAAGCATGTGGGAGGAGGAGAGAAGCATGTGGGAGGAGGATAGAAGCATGTGGGAGGAGGATAGAAGCATGTGGGAGGAGGACAGAAGCATGTGGGAGGAGGATAGAAGCATGTGGGAGGAGGATAGAAGCATGTGGGAGGAGGATAGAAGCATGTGGGAGGAGGACAGAAGCATGTGGGAGGAGGATAGAAGCATGTGGGAGGAGGATAGAAGCATGTGGGAGGAGGACAGAAGCATGTGGGAGGAGGATAGAAGCATGTGGGAGGAGGACAGAAGCATGTGGGAGGAGGACAGAAGCATGTGGGAGGAGGACAGAAGCATGTGGGAGGAGGAGAGAAGCATGTGGGAGGAGGATAGAAGCATGTGGGAGGAGGACAGAAGCATGTGGGAGGAGGATAGAAGCATGTGGGAGGAGGATAGAAGCATGTGGGAGGAGGATAGAAGCATGTGGGAGGAGGATAGAAGCATGTGGGAGGAGGATAGAAGCATGTGGGAGGAGGATAGAAGCATGTGGGAGGAGGATAGAAGCATGTGGGAGGAGGATAGAAGCATGTGGGAGGAGGATAGAAGCATGTGGGAGGAGGATAGAAGCATGTGGGAGGAGGATAGAAGCATGTGGGAGGAGGATAGAAGCATGTGGGAGGAGGATAGAAGCATGTGGGAGGAGGACAGAAGCATGTGGGAGGAGGATAGAAGCATGTGGGAGGAGGATAGAAGCATGTGGGAGGAGGATAGAAGCATGTGGGAGGAGGATAGAAGCATGTGGGAGGAGGATAGAAGCATGTGGGAGGAGGATAGAAGCATGTGGGAGGAGGACAGAAGCATGTGGGAGGAGGATAGAAGCATGTGGGAGGAGGATAGAAGCATGTGGGAGGAGGACAGAAGCATGTGGGAGGAGGATAGAAGCATGTGGGAGGAGGATAGAAGCATGTGGGAGGAGGATAGAAGCATGTGGGAGGAGGATAGAAGCATGTGGGAGGAGGATAGAAGCATGTGGGAGGAGGATAGAAGCATGTGGGAGGAGGATAGAAGCATGTGGGAGGAGGATAGAAGCATGTGGGAGGAGGATAGAAGCATGTGGGAGGAGGATAGAAGCATGTGGGAGGAGGATAGAAGCATGTGGGAGGAGGATAGAAGCATGTGGGAGGAGGATAGAAGCATGTGGGAGGAGGATAGAAGCATGTGGGAGGAGGACAGAAGCATGTGGGAGGAGGATAGAAGCATGTGGGAGGAGGATAGAAGCATGTGGGAGGAGGATAGAAGCATGTGGGAGGAGGATAGAAGCATGTGGGAGGAGGATAGAAGCATGTGGGAGGAGGATAGAAGCATGTGGGAGGAGGATAGAAGCATGTGGGAGGAGGATAGAAGCATGTGGGAGGAGGATAGAAGCATGTGGGAGGAGGATAGAAGCATGTGGGAGGAGGATAGAAGCATGTGGGAGGAGGATAGAAGCATGTGGGAGGAGGATAGAAGCATGTGGGAGGAGGGAGGATAGAAGCATGTGGGAGGAGGATAGAAGCATGTGGGAGGAGGATAGAAGCATGTGGGAGGTGGATAGAAGCATGTGGGAGGAGGATAGAAGCATGTGGGAGGAGGATAGAAGCATGTGGGAGGAGGATAGAAGCATGTGGGAGGAGGATAGAAGCATGTGGGAGGAGGACAGAAGCATGTGGGAGGAGGATAGAAGCATGTGGGAGGAGGACAGAAGCATGTGGGAGGAGGACAGAAGCATGTGGGAGGAGGACAGAAGCATGTGGGAGGAGGAGAGAAGCATGTGGGAGGAGGACAGAAGCATGTGGGAGGAGGACAGAAGCATGTGGGAGGAGGAGAGAAGCATGTGGGAGGAGGAGAGAAGCATGTGGGAGGAGGAGAGAAGCATGTGGGAGGAGGACAGAAGCATGTGGGAGGAGGACAGAAGCATGTGGGAGGAGGAGAGAAGCATGTGGGAGGAGGAGAGAAGCATGTGGGAGGAGGACAGAAGCATGTGGGAGGAGGACAGAAGCATGTGGGAGGAGGAGAGAAGCATGTGGGAGGAGGAGAGAAGCATGTGGGAGGAGGACAGAAGCATGTGGGAGGAGGACAGAAGCATGTGGGAGGAGGAGAGAAGCATGTGGGAGGAGGACAGAAGCATGTGGGAGGAGGACAGAAGCATGTGGGAGGAGGACAGAAGCATGTGGGAGGAGGAGAGAAGCATGTGGGAGGAGGATAGAAGCATGTGGGAGGAGGATAGAAGCATGTGGGAGGAGGATAGAAGCATGTGGGAGGAGGATAGAAGCATGTGGGAGGAGGATAGAAGCATGTGGGAGGAGGATAGAAGCATGTGGGAGGAGGATAGAAGCATGTGGGAGGAGGACAGAAGCATGTGGGAGGAGGACAGAAGCATGTGGGAGGAGGAGAGAAGCATGTGGGAGGAGGACAGAAGCATGTGGGAGGAGGATAGAAGCATGTAGGAGGAGGAGAGAAGCATGTAGGAGGAGGATAGAAGCATGTGGGAGGAGGATAGAAGCATGTGGGAGGAGGACAGAAGCATGTGGGAGGAGGATAGAAGCATGTGGGAGGAGGACAGAAGCATGTGGGAGGAGGATAGAAGCATGTGGGAGGAGGATAGAAGCATGTGGGAGGAGGATAGAAGCATGTGGGAGGAGGACAGAAGCATGTGGGAGGAGGACAGAAGCATGTGGGAGGAGGACAGAAGCATGTGGGAGGAGGACAGAAGCATGTGGGAGGAGGACAGAAGCATGTGGGAGGAGGACAGAAGCATGTGGGAGGAGGACAGAAGCATGTGGGAGGAGGACAGAAGCATGTGGGAGGAGGACAGAAGCATGTGGGAGGAGGACAGAAGCATGTGGGAGGAGGACAGAAGCATGTGGGAGGAGGACAGAAGCATGTGGGAGGAGGACAGAAGCATGTGGGAGGAGGACAGAAGCATGTGGGAGGAGGACAGAAGCATGTGGGAGGAGGACAGAAGCATGTGGGAGGAGGACAGAAGCATGTGGGAGGAGGACAGAAGCATGTGGGAGGAGGACAGAAGCATGTGGGAGGAGGACAGAAGCATGTGGGAGGAGGACAGAAGCATGTGGGAGGAGGACAGAAGCATGTGGGAGGAGGACAGAAGCATGTGGGAGGAGGACAGAAGCATGTGGGAGGAGGACAGAAGCATGTGGGAGGAGGACAGAAGCATGTGGGAGGAGGACAGAAGCATGTGGGAGGAGGACAGAAGCATGTGGGAGGAGGACAGAAGCATGTGGGAGGAGGACAGAAGCATGTGGGAGGAGGACAGAAGCATGTGGGAGGAGGACAGAAGCATGTGGGAGGAGGACAGAAGCATGTGGGAGGAGGACAGAAGCATGTGGGAGGAGGACAGAAGCATGTGGGAGGAGGACAGAAGCATGTGGGAGGAGGACAGAAGCATGTGGGAGGAGGACAGAAGCATGTGGGAGGAGGACAGAAGCATGTGGGAGGAGGACAGAAGCATGTGGGAGGAGGACAGAAGCATGTGGGAGGAGGACAGAAGCATGTGGGAGGAGGACAGAAGCATGTGGGAGGAGGACAGAAGCATGTGGGAGGAGGACAGAAGCATGTGGGAGGAGGAGAGAAGCATGTGGGAGGAGGACAGAAGCATGTGGGAGGAGGACAGAAGCATGTGGGAGGAGGACAGAAGCATGTGGGAGGAGGAGAGAAGCATGTGGGAGGAGGAGAGAAGCATGTGGGAGGAGGACAGAAGCATGTGGGAGGAGGACAGAAGCATGTGGGAGGAGGAGAGAAGCATGTGGGAGGAGGAGAGAAGCATGTGGGAGGAGGAGAGAAGCATGTGGGAGGAGGATAGAAGCATGTGGGAGGAGGACAGAAGCATGTGGGAGGAGGACAGAAGCATGTGGGAGGAGGACAGAAGCATGTGGGAGGAGGACAGAAGCATGTGGGAGGAGGATAGAAGCATGTGGGAGGAGGACAGAAGCATGTGGGAGGAGGATAGAAGCATGTGGGAGGAGGACAGAAGCATGTGGGAGGAGGATAGAAGCATGTGGGAGGAGGATAGAAGCATGTGGGAGGAGGACAGAAGCATGTGGGAGGAGGATAGAAGCATGTGGGAGGAGGATAGAAGCATGTGGGAGGAGGATAGAAGCATGTGGGAGGAGGACAGAAGCATGTGGGAGGAGGACAGAAGCATGTGGGAGGAGGACAGAAGCATGTGGGAGGAGGACAGAAGCATGTGGGAGGAGGACAGAAGCATGTGGGAGGAGGACAGAAGCATGTGGGAGGAGGACAGAAGCATGTGGGAGGAGGAGAGAAGCATGTGGGAGGAGGAGAGAAGCATGTGGGAGGAGGAGAGAAGCATGTGGGAGGAGGACAGAAGCATGTGGGAGGAGGACAGAAGCATGTGGGAGGAGGACAGAAGCATGTGGGAGGAGGACAGAAGCATGTGGGAGGAGGATAGAAGCATGTGGGAGGAGGACAGAAGCATGTGGGAGGAGGACAGAAGCATGTGGGAGGAGGACAGAAGCATGTGGGAGGAGGAGAGAAGCATGTGGGAGGAGGACAGAAGCATGTGGGAGGAGGACAGAAGCATGTGGGAGGAGGACAGAAGCATGTGGGAGGAGGATAGAAGCATGTGGGAGGAGGACAGAAGCATGTGGAAGGAGGATAGAAGCATGTGGGAGGAGGATAGAAGCATGTGGGAGGAGGATAGAAGCATGTGGGAGGAGGATAGAAGCATGTGGGAGGAGGATAGAAGCATGTGGGAGGAGGATAGAAGCATGTGGGAGGAGGACAGAAGCATGTGGGAGGAGGATAGAAGCATGTGGGAGGAGGACAGAAGCATGTGGGAGGAGGATAGAAGCATGTGGGAGGAGGAGAGAAGCATGTGGGAGGAGGATAGAAGCATGTGGGAGGAGGATAGAAGCATGTGGGAGGAGGACAGAAGCATGTGGGAGGAGGATAGAAGCATGTGGGAGGAGGATAGAAGCATGTGGGAGGAGGATAGAAGCATGTGGGAGGAGGACAGAAGCATGTGGGAGGAGGATAGAAGCATGTGGGAGGAGGATAGAAGCATGTGGGAGGAGGACAGAAGCATGTGGGAGGAGGATAGAAGCATGTGGGAGGAGGACAGAAGCATGTGGGAGGAGGACAGAAGCATGTGGGAGGAGGACAGAAGCATGTGGGAGGAGGAGAGAAGCATGTGGGAGGAGGATAGAAGCATGTGGGAGGAGGACAGAAGCATGTGGGAGGAGGATAGAAGCATGTGGGAGGAGGATAGAAGCATGTGGGAGGAGGATAGAAGCATGTGGGAGGAGGATAGAAGCATGTGGGAGGAGGATAGAAGCATGTGGGAGGAGGATAGAAGCATGTGGGAGGAGGATAGAAGCATGTGGGAGGAGGATAGAAGCATGTGGGAGGAGGATAGAAGCATGTGGGAGGAGGATAGAAGCATGTGGGAGGAGGATAGAAGCATGTGGGAGGAGGATAGAAGCATGTGGGAGGAGGATAGAAGCATGTGGGAGGAGGACAGAAGCATGTGGGAGGAGGATAGAAGCATGTGGGAGGAGGATAGAAGCATGTGGGAGGAGGATAGAAGCATGTGGGAGGAGGATAGAAGCATGTGGGAGGAGGATAGAAGCATGTGGGAGGAGGATAGAAGCATGTGGGAGGAGGACAGAAGCATGTGGGAGGAGGATAGAAGCATGTGGGAGGAGGATAGAAGCATGTGGGAGGAGGACAGAAGCATGTGGGAGGAGGATAGAAGCATGTGGGAGGAGGATAGAAGCATGTGGGAGGAGGATAGAAGCATGTGGGAGGAGGATAGAAGCATGTGGGAGGAGGATAGAAGCATGTGGGAGGAGGATAGAAGCATGTGGGAGGAGGATAGAAGCATGTGGGAGGAGGATAGAAGCATGTGGGAGGAGGATAGAAGCATGTGGGAGGAGGATAGAAGCATGTGGGAGGAGGATAGAAGCATGTGGGAGGAGGATAGAAGCATGTGGGAGGAGGATAGAAGCATGTGGGAGGAGGATAGAAGCATGTGGGAGGAGGACAGAAGCATGTGGGAGGAGGATAGAAGCATGTGGGAGGAGGATAGAAGCATGTGGGAGGAGGATAGAAGCATGTGGGAGGAGGATAGAAGCATGTGGGAGGAGGATAGAAGCATGTGGGAGGAGGATAGAAGCATGTGGGAGGAGGATAGAAGCATGTGGGAGGAGGATAGAAGCATGTGGGAGGAGGATAGAAGCATGTGGGAGGAGGATAGAAGCATGTGGGAGGAGGATAGAAGCATGTGGGAGGAGGATAGAAGCATGTGGGAGGAGGATAGAAGCATGTGGGGAGGAGGATAGAAGCATGTGGGAGGAGGATAGAAGCATGTGGGAGGAGGATAGAAGCATGTGGGAGGTGGATAGAAGCATGTGGGAGGAGGATAGAAGCATGTGGGAGGAGGATAGAAGCATGTGGGAGGAGGATAGAAGCATGTGGGAGGAGGATAGAAGCATGTGGGAGGAGGACAGAAGCATGTGGGAGGAGGATAGAAGCATGTGGGAGGAGGACAGAAGCATGTGGGAGGAGGACAGAAGCATGTGGGAGGAGGACAGAAGCATGTGGGAGGAGGAGAGAAGCATGTGGGAGGAGGACAGAAGCATGTGGGAGGAGGACAGAAGCATGTGGGAGGAGGAGAGAAGCATGTGGGAGGAGGAGAGAAGCATGTGGGAGGAGGAGAGAAGCATGTGGGAGGAGGACAGAAGCATGTGGGAGGAGGACAGAAGCATGTGGGAGGAGGAGAGAAGCATGTGGGAGGAGGAGAGAAGCATGTGGGAGGAGGACAGAAGCATGTGGGAGGAGGACAGAAGCATGTGGGAGGAGGAGAGAAGCATGTGGGAGGAGGAGAGAAGCATGTGGGAGGAGGACAGAAGCATGTGGGAGGAGGACAGAAGCATGTGGGAGGAGGAGAGAAGCATGTGGGAGGAGGACAGAAGCATGTGGGAGGAGGACAGAAGCATGTGGGAGGAGGACAGAAGCATGTGGGAGGAGGAGAGAAGCATGTGGGAGGAGGATAGAAGCATGTGGGAGGAGGATAGAAGCATGTGGGAGGAGGATAGAAGCATGTGGGAGGAGGATAGAAGCATGTGGGAGGAGGATAGAAGCATGTGGGAGGAGGATAGAAGCATGTGGGAGGAGGATAGAAGCATGTGGGAGGAGGACAGAAGCATGTGGGAGGAGGACAGAAGCATGTGGGAGGAGGAGAGAAGCATGTGGGAGGAGGACAGAAGCATGTGGGAGGAGGATAGAAGCATGTAGGAGGAGGAGAGAAGCATGTAGGAGGAGGACAGAAGCATGTGGGAGGAGGATAGAAGCATGTGGGAGGAGGATAGAAGCATGTGGGAGGAGGACAGAAGCATGTGGGAGGAGGACAGAAGCATGTGGGAGGAGGACAGAAGCATGTGGGAGGAGGACAGAAGCATGTGGGAGGAGGACAGAAGCATGTGGGAGGAGGACAGAAGCATGTGGGAGGAGGACAGAAGCATGTGGGAGGAGGACAGAAGCATGTGGGAGGAGGACAGAAGCATGTGGGAGGAGGACAGAAGCATGTGGGAGGAGGACAGAAGCATGTGGGAGGAGGACAGAAGCATGTGGGAGGAGGACAGAAGCATGTGGGAGGAGGACAGAAGCATGTGGGAGGAGGACAGAAGCATGTGGGAGGAGGACAGAAGCATGTGGGAGGAGGACAGAAGCATGTGGGAGGAGGACAGAAGCATGTGGGAGGAGGACAGAAGCATGTGGGAGGAGGACAGAAGCATGTGGGAGGAGGACAGAAGCATGTGGGAGGAGGACAGAAGCATGTGGGAGGAGGACAGAAGCATGTGGGAGGAGGACAGAAGCATGTGGGAGGAGGACAGAAGCATGTGGGAGGAGGACAGAAGCATGTGGGAGGAGGACAGAAGCATGTGGGAGGAGGACAGAAGCATGTGGGAGGAGGACAGAAGCATGTGGGAGGAGGACAGAAGCATGTGGGAGGAGGACAGAAGCATGTGGGAGGAGGACAGAAGCATGTGGGAGGAGGACAGAAGCATGTGGGAGGAGGACAGAAGCATGTGGGAGGAGGACAGAAGCATGTGGGAGGAGGACAGAAGCATGTGGGAGGAGGACAGAAGCATGTGGGAGGAGGACAGAAGCATGTGGGAGGAGGACAGAAGCATGTGGGAGGAGGACAGAAGCATGTGGGAGGAGGACAGAAGCATGTGGGAGGAGGACAGAAGCATGTGGGAGGAGGAGAGAAGCATGTGGGAGGAGGACAGAAGCATGTGGGAGGAGGACAGAAGCATGTGGGAGGAGGACAGAAGCATGTGGGAGGAGGAGAGAAGCATGTGGGAGGAGGAGAGAAGCATGTGGGAGGAGGACAGAAGCATGTGGGAGGAGGACAGAAGCATGTGGGAGGAGGAGAGAAGCATGTGGGAGGAGGAGAGAAGCATGTGGGAGGAGGAGAGAAGCATGTGGGAGGAGGATAGAAGCATGTGGGAGGAGGACAGAAGCATGTGGGAGGAGGACAGAAGCATGTGGGAGGAGGACAGAAGCATGTGGGAGGAGGACAGAAGCATGTGGGAGGAGGATAGAAGCATGTGGGAGGAGGACAGAAGCATGTGGGAGGAGGATAGAAGCATGTGGGAGGAGGACAGAAGCATGTGGGAGGAGGATAGAAGCATGTGGGAGGAGGATAGAAGCATGTGGGAGGAGGACAGAAGCATGTGGGAGGAGGATAGAAGCATGTGGGAGGAGGATAGAAGCATGTGGGAGGAGGATAGAAGCATGTGGGAGGAGGACAGAAGCATGTGGGAGGAGGACAGAAGCATGTGGGAGGAGGACAGAAGCATGTGGGAGGAGGACAGAAGCATGTGGGAGGAGGACAGAAGCATGTGGGAGGAGGACAGAAGCATGTGGGAGGAGGACAGAAGCATGTGGGAGGAGGAGAGAAGCATGTGGGAGGAGGAGAGAAGCATGTGGGAGGAGGAGAGAAGCATGTGGGAGGAGGACAGAAGCATGTGGGAGGAGGACAGAAGCATGTGGGAGGAGGACAGAAGCATGTGGGAGGAGGACAGAAGCATGTGGGAGGAGGATAGAAGCATGTGGGAGGAGGACAGAAGCATGTGGGAGGAGGACAGAAGCATGTGGGAGGAGGACAGAAGCATGTGGGAGGAGGAGAGAAGCATGTGGGAGGAGGACAGAAGCATGTGGGAGGAGGACAGAAGCATGTGGGAGGAGGACAGAAGCATGTGGGAGGAGGATAGAAGCATGTGGGAGGAGGACAGAAGCATGTGGAAGGAGGATAGAAGCATGTGGGAGGAGGATAGAAGCATGTGGGAGGAGGATAGAAGCATGTGGGAGGAGGATAGAAGCATGTGGGAGGAGGATAGAAGCATGTGGGAGGAGGATAGAAGCATGTGGGAGGAGGATAGAAGCATGTGGGAGGAGGATAGAAGCATGTGGGAGGAGGATAGAAGCATGTGGGAGGAGGATAGAAGCATGTGGGAGGAGGATAGAAGCATGTGGGAGGAGGATAGAAGCATGTGGGAGGAGGATAGAAGCATGTGGGAGGAGGATAGAAGCATGTGGGAGGAGGATAGAAGCATGTGGGAGGAGGATAGAAGCATGTGGGAGGAGGATAGAAGCATGTGGGAGGAGGATAGAAGCATGTGGGAGGAGGATAGAAGCATGTGGGACGAGGATAGAAGCATGTGGGAGGAGGATAGAAGCATGTGGGAGGAGGATAGAAGCATGTGGGAGGAGGATAGAAGCATGTGGGAGGAGGATAGAAGCATGTGGGAGGAGGATAGAAGCATGTGGGAGGAGGATAGAAGCATGTGGGAGGAGGGAGGATAGAAGCATGTGGGAGGAGGATAGAAGCATGTGGGAGGAGGATAGAAGCATGTGGGAGGAGGATAGAAGCATGTGGGAGGAGGATAGAAGCATGTGGGAGGAGGGAGGATAGAAGCATGTGGGAGGAGGATAGAAGCATGTGGGAGGAGGATAGAAGCATGTGGGAGGAGGATAGAAGCATGTGGGAGGAGGATAGAAGCATGTGGGAGGAGGGAGGATAGAAGCATGTGGGAGGAGGATAGAAGCATGTGGGAGGAGGATAGAAGCATGTGGGAGGAGGGAGGATAGAAGCATGTGGGAGGAGGATAGAAGCATGTGGGAGGAGGGAGGATAGAAGCATGTGGGAGGAGGATAGAAGCATGTGGGAGGAGGATAGAAGCATGTGGGAGGAGGGAGGATAGAAGCATGTGGGAGGAGGATAGAAGCATGTGGGAGGAGGGAGGATAGAAGCATGTGGGAGGAGGATAGAAGCATGTGGGAGGAGGATAGAAGCATGTGGGAGGAGGGAGGATAGAAGCATGTGGGAGGAGGATAGAAGCATGTGGGAGGAGGATAGAAGCATGTGGGAGGAGGATAGAAGCATGTGGGAGGAGGATAGAAGCATGTGGGAGGAGGGAGGATAGAAGCATGTGGGAGGAGGATAGAAGCATGTGGGAGGAGGATAGAAGCATGTGGGAGGAGGATAGAAGCATGTGGGAGGAGGATAGAAGCATGTGGGAGGAGGGAGGATAGAAGCATGTGGGAGGAGGGAGGATAGAAGCATGTGGGAGGAGGATAGAAGCATGTGGGAGGAGGATAGAAGCATGTGGGAGGAGGATAGAAGCATGTGGGAGGAGGGAGGATAGAAGCATGTGGGAGGAGGGAGGATAGAAGCATGTGGGAGGAGGATAGAAGCATGTGGGAGGAGGATAGAAGCATGTGGGAGGAGGATAGAAGCATGTGGGAGGAGGGAGGATAGAAGCATGTGGGAGGAGGGAGGATAGAAGCATATGGGAGGAGGATAGAAGCATGTGGGAGGAGGATAGAAGCATGTGGGAGGAGGATAGAAGCATGTGGGAGGAGGGAGGATAGAAGCATGTGGGAGGAGGGAGGATAGAAGCATGTGGGAGGAGGATAGAAGCATGTGGGAGGAGGATAGAAGCATGTGGGAGGAGGATAGAAGCATGTGGGAGGAGGATAGAAGCATGTGGGAGGAGGGAGGATAGAAGCATGTGGGAGGAGGATAGAAGCATGTGGGAGGAGGATAGAAGCATGTGGGAGGAGGATAGAAGCATGTGGGAGGAGGATAGAAGCATGTGGGAGGAGGGAGGATAGAAGCATGTGGGAGGAGGATAGAAGCATGTGGGAGGAGGATAGAAGCATGTGGGAGGAGGATAGAAGCATGTGGGAGGAGGATAGAAGCATGTGGGAGGAGGGAGGATAGAAGCATGTGGGAGGAGGATAGAAGCATGTGGGAGGAGGATAGAAGCATGTGGGAGGAGGATAGAAGCATGTGGGAGGAGGATAGAAGCATGTGGGAGGAGGGAGGATAGAAGCATGTGGGAGGAGGATAGAAGCATGTGGGAGGAGGATAGAAGCATGTGGGAGGAGGATAGAAGCATGTGGGATGAGGATAGAAGCATGTGGGAGGAGGGAGGATAGAAGCATGTGGGAGGAGGATAGAAGCATGTGGGAGGAGGATAGAAGCATGTGGGAGGAGGATAGAAGCATGTGGGAGGAGGGAGGATAGAAGCATGTGGGAGGAGGATAGAAGCATGTGGGAGGAGGATAGAAGCATGTGGGAGGAGGATAGAAGCATGTGGGAGGAGGGAGGATAGAAGCATGTGGGAGGAGGGAGGATAGAAGCATGTGGGAGGAGGATAGAAGCATGTGGGAGGAGGATAGAAGCATGTGGGAGGAGGATAGAAGCATGTGGGAGGAGGGAGGATAGAAGCATGTGGGAGGAGGGAGGATAGAAGCATGTGGGAGGAGGATAGAAGCATGTGGGAGGAGGATAGAAGCATGTGGGAGGAGGATAGAAGCATGTGGGAGGAGGGAGGATAGAAGCATGTGGGAGAGGGAGGATAGAAGCATGTGGGAGGAGGATAGAAGCATGTGGGAGGAGGATAGAAGCATGTGGGAGGAGGATAGAAGCATGTGGGAGGAGGGAGGATAGAAGCATGTGGGAGGAGGGAGGATAGAAGCATGTGGGAGGAGGATAGAAGCATGTGGGAGGAGGATAGAAGCATGTGGGAGGAGGATAGAAGCATGTGGGAGGAGGGAGGATAGAAGCATGTGGGAGGAGGGAGGATAGAAGCATGTGGGAGGAGGATAGAAGCATGTGGGAGGAGGATAGAAGCATGTGGGAGGAGGATAGAAGCATGTGGGAGGAGGGAGGATAGAAGCATGTGGGAGGAGGGAGGATAGAAGCATGTGGGAGGAGGATAGAAGCATGTGGGAGGAGGATAGAAGCATGTGGGAGGAGGATAGAAGCATGTGGGAGGAGGGAGGATAGAAGCATGTGGGAGGAGGGAGGATAGAAGCATGTGGGAGGAGGATAGAAGCATGTGGGAGGAGGATAGAAGCATGTGGGAGGAGGATAGAAGCATGTGGGAGGAGGGAGGATAGAAGCATGTGGGAGGAGGGAGGATAGAAGCATGTGGGAGGAGGATAGAAGCATGTGGGAGGAGGATAGAAGCATGTGGGAGGAGGATAGAAGCATGTGGGAGGAGGGAGGATAGAAGCATGTGGGAGGAGGGAGGATAGAAGCATGTGGGAGGAGGATAGAAGCATGTGGGAGGAGGATAGAAGCATGTGGGAGGAGGGAGGATAGAAGCATGTGGGAGGAGGGAGGATAGAAGCATGTGGGAGGAGGATAGAAGCATGTGGGAGGAGGATAGAAGCATGTGGGAGGAGGATAGAAGCATGTGGGAGGAGGGAGGATAGAAGCATGTGGGAGGAGGGAGGATAGAAGCATGTGGGAGGAGGGAGGATAGAAGCATGTGGGAGGAGGATAGAAGCATGTGGGAGGAGGATAGAAGCATGTGGGAGGAGGGAGGATAGAAGCATGTGGGAGGAGGGAGGATAGAAGCATGTGGGAGGAGGGAGGATAGAAGCATGTGGGAGGAGGATAGAAGCATGTGGGAGGAGGATAGAAGCATGTGGGAGGAGGGAGGATAGAAGCATGTGGGAGGAGGGAGGATAGAAGCATGTGGGAGGAGGATAGAAGCATGTGGGAGGAGGATAGAAGCATGTGGGAGGAGGATAGAAGCATGTGGGAGGAGGGAGGATAGAAGCATGTGGGAGGAGGGAGGATAGAAGCATGTGGGAGGAGGATAGAAGCATGTGGGAGGAGGATAGAAGCATGTGGGAGGAGGATAGAAGCATGTGGGAGGAGGGAGGATAGAAGCATGTGGGAGGAGGGAGGATAGAAGCATGTGGGAGGAGGGAGGATAGAAGCATGTGGGAGGAGGATAGAAGCATGTGGGAGGAGGATAGAAGCATGTGGGAGGAGGGAGGATAGAAGCATGTGGGAGGAGGGAGGATAGAAGCATGTGGGAGGAGGATAGAAGCATGTTGGAGGAGGATAGAAGCATGTGGGAGGAGGATAGAAGCATGTGGGAGGAGGGAGGATAGAAGCATGTGGGAGGAGGGAGGATAGAAGCATGTGGGAGGAGGATAGAAGCATGTGGGAGGAGGATAGAAGCATGTGGGAGGAGGATAGAAGCATGTGGGAGGAGGGAGGATAGAAGCATGTGGGAGGAGGGAGGATAGAAGCATGTGGGAGGAGGATAGAAGCATGTGGGAGGAGGATAGAAGCATGTGGGAGGAGGATAGAAGCATGTGGGAGGAGGAGGATAGAAGCATGTGGGAGGAGGATAGAAGCATGTGGGAGGAGGATAGAAGCATGTGGGAGGAGGATAGAAGCATGTGGGAGGAGGATAGAAGCATGTGGGAGGAGGATAGAAGCATGTGGGAGGAGGATAGAAGCATGTGGGAGGAGGATAGAAGCATGTGGGAGGAGGATAGAAGCATGTGGGAGGAGGATAGAAGCATGTGGGAGGAGGATAGAAGCATGTGGGAGGAGGATAGAAGCATGTGGGAGGAGGATAGAAGCATGTGGGAGGAGGATAGAAGCATGTGGGAGGAGGATAGAAGCATGCTCAACCATCTTCATCCTCCTCTGCCCTTACCTCTCTTCCTCCTCTGCCCCTTCCTCTCCTCCTTCGCCCTTTCCTATCGGCCCTCCTCTCCCGTCCACTCCTGCTGCGCGGCCGTGCGTGCGTCAGCTCGTGTCATACGGCCAGCTTGCCACGGCTCTCAAGGAGGCGGCCGGATCCACGGATCAGGTGAGCTCACGCATGCCATGGCCGCCCGGGTCATGGATCAGGTGAGCCCACGCATCGCATGGCTGGGTCATGGGTCAGGTGAGGCATGGCCTGCAGCGCTACTAGCATAGCCATGGCTATGCTCTTGCACGTCTTCTCGTGCTCAGCCTCGGATCTCCACGTTTCGTTATATGTGTTGTCCTCCACGTGTCCACGTCCTGCTTCGTTTCTTCGTGCTCTCTGGATGCTGGCAGCCTGACGCTCCTCCTGTCATGCCATCCAGCACAGCACGTGCCGTTGCCATCACCATTCCACACGCAACGTGCACCATGGATGGAGCATGCATCATATCGTATGCCATGCAACATACAACGTGTGCCATGCACCATAGGTTACTTTTCTGGTACCAGCATGCCGAGAGCAATGCAGCACTTGTGCAACTCTGCGGCAGCACTTTCTCAACTTCCTGTCCCCCTGCATGCCCCTCATGCTGCAACTATTGTTTGCATGTCTCTCCCCACTTTTGCATGTCTCTCCTCTCTCTCCTGCATATTGCTACTTTTGCGGGGAGAGCAGAAGAAGCGGCAGCAGCTGGTGGCGCTTGTGTTCCCCAAGCTCGCTGTGTACAACTCCGTGGACCCCTCTCTCGCCACGGCTCTGCTGCTCGTCAGTGCCCACGCTGCTGCTGCTCCCACAGCCCGACCACCACCATCTTTTGCCCCTGCTGCGTTGCATGCTCTGAATCTCCAGTCGTTCACCTCTCATGTGCCATCACATTCGTAAACCCTAACTTCCCATGTCCCCAATTCGCTACTCTCATTGTCCTGGATTGGCCACTCATTTTTTCCTCCACCCTTCTTATTGATGGCATTTGCATCCTGCTTGTTTGTCTTGGCATCGAAACACCTGGCTTGCTTGTCTTGGCATTGCATTGCATGCCATGGCATCACATTTCATCGTCTCGCATTGCGCGACATGGCACATGGTATGGCCTGTCTGGCCTGGTGGGGCTGTGGGCATGGCATGGCATGGCATGGCACGGGTGTGCGAGGGTGGGTGAGGGTGGAATGACTGGCAGCTGCTGCAAGGGTCGTCGGACGTGGTGGTGCTGCGCTACTGCTACTACTTCCTCGCTCGCATCCTCACTGAGAGCGCCGCTGCTGGCAGCTACAACGAGGGCGGCGGCGTGCCCACCCCCAACTGGGACACCTTGGCTGACGTCTCTGCCGGTGCCCAAACCCTCTCTCTCTCCCTCTCCTTCCTTCCTCATGCCACCCGCGCCTGCAATCTGGCAAGCAAGCCTGCTACTCTCACACTTCTCCTCATGACGCCTGTTGTGCTCTCCCTCAACTTCAATCAGTACCTGCACTGCACTGCCACTGTTCTGCGCTGCTTGCATGTCGTGCTGCTGGCATGGTGCATGGCAGATGGGTCACAAGCTGCCACACGGGCGGAGCTGCTCTCTCTCATACTCTCTCGTCTCGCCACTGAAGCATCCACTCCTGATGTCGCTGGTATTCGCCTCACTTACTCTGCTACTCACCATTGTATCATAATCTGCTTTGCCACCACCCTCTCATTTTCACGTACACCCTGCCAGCCCACCCTCTCTTCCACAACATACCCCTGCCTTTCCCTGTCCCGCCTTGCCCTGCCTGCCGTCCCTGTCCCGCGCGCGGCCCTTCCCCTGGCAGCGCATGCGCGGCGCATGGCGGCACTGAAGGCGCTGGCGTGTGCGCCCATGGCCCACCAGGACGCCTATGCTGCCCTCGTCCGCATCATTCTCGCCATCCTTGACTCGGTGCGACCCCGCTCTCACTCCGATTATAGGGCCTTTCTCATCTCTCTTGTTCTGGAATCGACGGGCTTGCTACTGCACTACGCTGTTACCCTTGCACCTTGTTTCGCTCGCTCATTTACCATCACACATTACAACCCGAGTGCTATTAAGCTCTCTTGCTCTGCAGAGGGGCTCTCCTTGAGTCTCATCTCCTGCACCTCCTTCCCCCGCACCGCACCTCCTTCCCCCGCACCGCACCTCCTTCCCCCGCACCGCACCTCCTTCCCCCGCACCGCACCTCCTTCCCCCGCACCGCACCTCCTTCCCCCGCACCGCACCTCCTTCCCCCGCACCGCACCTCCTTCCCCCGCACCGCACCTCCTTCCCCCGCACCGCACCTCCTTCCCCCGCACCGCACCTCCTTCCCCCGCACCGCACCTCCTTCCCCCGCACTGCACCTCCTTCCACCGCACTCCACCCCCTTCCCCCCGCACTGCACCCCCTCCCCCCTTACCGCACCCCGTTCCCCTGCACTGCACCGCACTGCACCGCGTGGCAGGTAACGGAGGACCGGAAGAAGCGGCGGCGGTGGAGGGAGCTGCTGCGGCGGGGCGCCAAGGCGAAGGACGCGGCGCTGCGGGGCAACCTCTTTGGCGCCGCGCTCTCCGCGCTGCGCCGCCTGCCACTCGACCCCGCCTCCGACGCCTTCGTCGAGCGCGTCGTGCTGGGGTGAGTGGTTCAGAGTGGTGCTGGGGTGAGCGGTTTAGAGCGGTGCTGGGGTGATCGGGTGCTGAGCGGTGCTGGGGTGAGTGAGGGATGCGGGAGCAAGTGGTGATGGGGTGAGTGCAATGGAGGGCAGTGCCTCCTGTCCAACTGCTCCTCGCACACTCCTACCCCCTCACACCCCACTTGCTCCTCCTTCTGTCTGCGTGTACGCTGCCGTGCTGTGCGGTGTGTGGCATGGCATGCGCTGTGACACGGCCAGCATAGGGTGTGGGGATGCAGTGGGGCTGCGCCATGCGCTCTCCATGGCGGCCGACATCGCCCTCGTCAACCCCCTCGCCCTCGCCACCTCCATCTGTCAGCCCCCCCTCGCCCACAGCCACTCTCTCTCTCTCTCTCTGTGCTTCTTGCCTTCAACCTTTCCATTTGAACTGAAGCAGTAAACACCCGTTATATGTATAGGGTTGCTACGCAACCCAAAACAATGCAACTCGTCGAGTCTCGTTGTAAGGAGTTTACAAATTCCTTACTGTATCATGGCCTTAGCGGGTACTACCCGAGCGGGTTCGGCTTACAGTTTCGGCCCGAACCGCTTCCGAGCCGCCCTGCACCAACACTTCCAAGCCTCGCACATCAGGAGGCCCTCGCCTATCACGTTTTCGCCCTATAATTGCTCGCTTTCTTCATTGTATCGGCATGCTGTAATCACAGTGTCTTTATAGAAGTCTTCCGCGCACTCTGTTTAGTACAACTCAAAACACTCGTCGTCTGGCTCGTCGTTTCTCTGTCGGAATTTCCTCACGACCGTCAGATATCCTTGCATGTAGAATTGTTATGCGTAGCAGCAGTACCCCACGTGGCGTAATGCGAATTGCACGAACAGCTATACCTCGGCTGTTCCAACCCAATCCGAAATTTAGCCAGAACACCAAGTTGGGCATTTTCTTGTGGGAACTATGCATGTCGCGCATCACGCAGGATTTAGCTACAACCAGAAATTTGTAACCGAACCTCACCCATTATAGTTCCGTTTGTGGAGTGGAAAGACACACTCGAAATCGCCGTCGTGTCGACATAACCGCTCACGGGCTGCCATGGGCTGGACAGCCTTCCGGACCGCATAGCAGACTTCTGCCCTGCCTTCGCATGCTTACCATCTACAACTGCGGTTCTTTTGCCAGCCTGCCTAGTAGTTTCACCTCTCTGCGCCGTTTGGAAACCCTCGCGGTCGTGGATTGTGAGAGTCTTTCCTTACCCAGCAACTTCTGTGACCTTCCTGCCCTCAAGCTGTTAATTCTAGACAGGTTGCAGTACCCCCTCCCTTCTTTCTGCCATCTCACGTCCCTCGAGGCACTCTTTTCAAGACAATGCAATTGGGCGCCGGCAGATATTTCCTGCCACACGGCTCTCAAGGTGCTCAACTTCACACTCTCGGACCATCTTTTCTTGCCAGAAAACGTCGGGGCCCTTGCAAGTCTGACGGCTCTCGAGTTGGACTGTTGCCAGTTCCAGCCCCTTCCGAATTCGTTCACCAAGCTGTCTTCCGTGACGAGCCTTGAGCTCGTGCAATGCCCTGAAGTCAAGGATCTCGAAGCCCTGGGGGAGCTGAGTTGCCTGCGCGAGCTGAAGATCGCTGGTCTTCCAATCAGCGCACTTCCTAGCTCACTGTTACTGCTTACTGGACTCCGAACCTTGGAGGTTCGTGGCTGCGAGTCACTGTCAGAAGTACCGTCGAGGCTGGATGCGCTGAAGGGGCTGAAGAGGCTCGAGATCACGGGTTGTCGGCAGCTCAGTGGACCCCCTGCCGGTCTGCCCCCCACTCTTGAGACCCTCTACTTGGGGCCATTCAAGCATGGCCCTTCTCATTCTGTGGACATCTCGGTGCTGTGGCAGCTGAGGGTGCGTGATGCACGCTGTGCGTGACGCACGCTGTGCTGGCGGTCGACCAGGCTAGCTGCAGAGCTGCTAGGTGCCTGATGTGGTCATTCTTGTCATTGACAGTGCCATCATTCTGTAATGCAATCTTTACCTAATGAAAAATCTTGCCGATTTTTCCCGTGAATGCGCAACTGCTAAGGAACTAAGCAAAGCTACGATCACTCCTAGAGTTCGTGCCAACACCCCGTAGTCTAGCTGACGACTATTGTAGAGTGACTCTCCGCATGCTGCGGTGAGCGTAGAGGACCGGGGTTCGATTCCTGCTGTCGGCGACTTCCTGTGCCCTAAGTGGTGGACCCTCCCAGTGAGGGGAGTGTTGGAAGGGGACACTGGAATGGCCCGAAGTGGTCTCCCTAAGGGCTACAGGTGTCGTCCTGGGGGGGTATGGGTGCGCTGACCCACCAAGGAAACATGCCCTTTTAGCCCAGTCGGTTAGCGGACTGGAATGCTATCCCCGCATGGTGCGGTGAGCGTGGACGGCCCCGCAGATTACCTTCAGATAGGAGCCGACTTTTGCACCTACTAAGTCGTTCGTAGGCCGGCAGCCGCTCTAGTCGCCATGGTCGACCCCGTAGTTGAAGCGGGCGTAGCGAACACCTTGGAGACTCGTTTGGCTGACGCGAGGAGACGCCACGAGGCTGGCGAGCACGGGCCGAACCTCCCCTTGGAGGTCGTCGAGCTGGGCATCCGCGCAAAGTGGGCGACGGAGCACCCTTCCGATCCTGCATCTCTTCGACCGGTGCGAAACGAAGGTGGCATCGACGAGAAGGTCGACGGCGGTGCACGAGACAGCGGCAGCGAAGGCACGAAGAAGAGAGGGGTGATCAAGATCGACGGTGGCGTCGACAGGAGTCAGGCGCGAGTGCAGCGGTCAACGGCGGCTGCAGGCAGCTCGCGTGCCGACATCGACGGACGACGTCGCTCTCCTCTACGAAGTGGTGGAGGGCTCTCGGAGGCGACTCACGTGACAGCGAGCGGGATCGCACCGGCGTATGGCTACTTCAAGTTTTCTCCGGACCGGATCACCGTCGCACCGCTGCAAGGTCGACGGGACCTCATCACCTGGAGGGAGGCAATAGAACCTCAGCTGGAGGTCGCCGGGCTGAAGGGCTTTGCCGACGGCACCGTGCCAATTCCGCCCGAGGACGATGTCGAGCTGCGCGGGGAGTTTCGTGCTGCTCATTTGCTCACCTTCATGGTCATCTCGAGGTGTTGCTCGCCAGTGGTGCAGCTAGCGCTCAGGTCGTGTCGAGAGAGACTGGATGCTGGTCACCAAGCATGGCACTTCATCCTGTCGACGTACCAGGCAAAGGACGACCTGTACATCGGACAGCTGGAGGAGCAGATGACACACCTTCGGATGGGCGAGGAGGAGTCGGCGACGGACTACTGCAACCGTGCTCGACGGATCCTAGCTGAGATGCGGATGGCGGGCGTTGAATACTCGACGGCGTCCTACATCACCCATGTCGTCAAGGGCCTGCCGCACAGCTACAACCTCATGAAGAGGATGATGATGGTGCCCGGCACGCGTGGGTCCCTCGACGAGGACTCCCTCACCAGCTACGTCATTCAAGACGAGGCTCTGCAGGAGGCAGAGCAGCCCACGGAGCTCCTTCCGCAGGCGAGTTACGTTGCACCGACGAAGCAGAATCGTCCGCAGGGGCAGCGCGGGAAGCCGGGCGGATGTGGTAGCGGAGGTGGGCGGTCGACGAGAAGAGGTCGACGCGGGACAAAGGCCGTGGGGGTGGTGGTCAACGGCGGGAGTGCTGGATCTGCCACGACCCCGACCATCTCTCCTACGAGTGCCCCGACCGCGACGACAGCGACGAGGACGACAACAAGGGAGGCTGCGGTCGGTCGACCAGTCGTCGCCCCCGTCGAAATGAGAAGCCGCGCAAGGAAAAGCAGACGTCGAAGAAGACGTCGTCGACGAAGGACGACGACAACTTTAGAGGCAAGAGCCGAGGCGACGGGGAGGCGTCGTGCTCGATGGTCGGTGTAGAGGAGCCGACAGTCTCGCTGGCGCCGGAGGCTGGCGAGGACTTCCAGGCGCCGTCTGCCTCTCCCGTCTGCCTCTCCCGTCTGCCTCTCCCGTCTGCCTCTCCCGTCTGCCTCTCCCGTGTCTGCCTCTCCCGTCTGCCTCTCCCGTGTCTGCCTCTCCCGTCTGCCTCTCCCGTCTGCCTCTCCCGTCTGCCTCTCCCGTCTGCCTCTCCCGTCTGCCTCTCCCGTCTGCCTCTCCCGTCTGCCTCTCCCGTCTGCCTCTCCCGTCTGCCTCTCCCGTCTGCCTCTCCCGTCTGCCTCTCCCGTCTGCCTCTCCCGTCTGCCTCTCCCGTCTGCCTCTCCCGTCTGCCTCTCCCGTCTGCCTCTCCCGTGTCTGCCTCTCCCGTCTGCCTCTCCCGTGTCTGCCTCTCCCGTCTGCCTCTCCGTCTGCCTCTCCCGTCTGCCTCTCCCGTCTGCCTCTCCCGTCTGCCTCTCCCGTCTGCCTCTCCCGTCTGCCTCTCCCGTCTGCCTCTCCCGTCTGCCTCTCCCGTCTGCCTCTCCCGTCTGCCTCTCCCGTCTGCCTCTCCCGTCTGCCTCTCCCGTCTGCCTCTCCCGTCTGCCTCTCCCGTCTGCCTCGTCTCCTCTCCCGTCTGCCTCTCCCGTCTGCCTCTCCCGTCTGCCTCTCCCGTCTGCCTCTCCCGTCTGCCTCTCCCGTCTGCCTCTCCCGTCTGCCTCTCCCGTCTGCCTCTCCCGTCTGCCTCTCCCGTCTGCCTCTCCCGTCTGCCTCTCCCGTCTGCCTCTCCCGTCTGCCTCTCCCGTCTGCCTCTCCCGTCTGCCTCTCCCGTCTGCCTCTCCCGTCTGCCTCTCCCGTCTGCCTCTCCCGTCTGCCTCTCCCGTCTGCCTCTCCCGTCTGCCTCTCCCGTCTGCCTCTCCCGTCTGCCTCTCCCGTCTGCCTCTCCCGTCTGCCTCTCCCGTCTGCCTCTCCCGTCTGCCTCTCCCGTCTGCCTCTCCCGTCTGCCTCTCCCGTCTGCCTCTCCCGTCTGCTGCCTCTCCCGTCTGCCTCTCCCGTCGCCTCTACCCGTCTGCCTCTCCCGTCTGACTCTCCCGTCTGCCTCTCCCAGTCTGCCTCTCCCGTCTGCCTCTCCCGTCTGCCTCTCCCGTCTGCCTCTCCCGTCTGCCTCTCCCGTCTGCCTCTCCCGTCTGCCTCTCTCCGTCTGCCTCTCCCGTCTGCCTCTCCCGTCTGCCTCTCCCGTCTGCCTCTCCCGTCTGCCCTCCCGTCCTGCCTCTCCCGTCTGCCTCTCCCGTGTCTGCCTCTCCCGTCTGCCTCTCCCGTCTGCTCTCCCGTCTGCCTCTTATCCCGTCTGCCTCTCCCGTCTGCCTCTCCCGTCTGCCTTGCCTCTCCCGTCTGCCTCTCCCGTCTGCCTCTCCCGTCTGCCTCTCCCGTCTGCCTCTCCCGTCTGCCTCTCCCGTCTGCCTCTCCCGTCTGCCTCTCCCGTCTGCCTCTCCCGTCTGCCTCTCCCGTCTGCCTCTCCCGTCTGCCTCTCCCGTCTGCCTCTCCCGTCTGCCTCTCCCGTCTGCCTCTCCCGTCTGCCTCTCCCGTCTGCCTCTCCCGTCTGCCTCTCCCGTCTGCCTCTCCCGTCTGCCTCTCCCGTCTGCCTCTCCCGTCTGCCTCTCCCGTCTGCCTCTCCCGTCTGCCTCTCCCGTCTGCCTCTCCCGTCTGCCTCTCCCGTCTGCCTCTCCCGTCTGCCTCTCCCGTCTGCCTCTCCCGTCTGCCTCTCCCGTCTGCCTCTCCCGTCTGCCTCTCCCGTCTGCCTCTCCCGTCTGCCTCTCCCGTCTGCCTCTCCCGTCTGCCTCTCCCGTCTGCCTCTCCCGTCTGCCTCTCCCGTCTGCCTCTCCCGTCTGCCTCTCCGTCTGCCTCTCCCGTCTGCCTCTCCCGTCTGCCTCTCCCGTCTGCCTCTCCCGTCTGCCTCTCCCGTCTGCCTCTCCCGTCTGCCTCTCCCGTCTGCCTCTCCCGTCTGCCTCTCCCGTCTGCCTCTCCCGTCTGCCTCTCCCGTCTGCCTCTCCCGTCTGCCTCTCCCGTCTGCCTCTCCCGTCTGCCTCTCCCGTCTGCCTCTCCGTCTGCCTCTCCCGTCTGCCTCTCCCGTCTGCCTCTCCCGTCTGCCTCTCCCGTCTGCCTCTCCCGTCTGCCTCTCCCGTCTGCCTCTCCCGTCTGCCTCTCCCGTCTGCCTCTCCCGTCTGCCTCTCCCGTCTGCCTCTCCCGTCTGCCTCTCCCGTCTGCCTCTCCCGTCTGCCTCTCCCGTCTGCCTCTCCCGTCTGCCTCTCCCGTCTGCCTCTCCCGTCTGCCTCTCCCGTCTGCCTCTCCCGTCTGCCTCTCCCGTCTGCCTCTCCCGTCTGCCTCTCCCGTCTGCCTCTCCCGTCTGCCTCTCCCGTCTGCCTCTCCCGTCTGCCTCTCCCGTCTGCCTCTCCCGTCTGCCTCTCCCGTCTGCCTCTCCCGTCTGCCTCTCCCGTCTGCCTCTCCCGTCTGCCTCTCCCGTCTGCCTCTCCCGTCTGCCTCTCCCGTCTGCCTCTCCCGTCTGCCTCTCCCGTCTGCCTCTCCCGTCTGCCTCTCCCGTGTCTGCCTCTCCGTCTGCCTCTCCCGTGTCTGCCTCTCCGTCGCCTCTCCCGTCTGCCTCTCCCGTCTGCCTCTCCCGTCTGCCTCTCCGTCTGCCTCTCCCGTCTGCCTCTCCCGTCTGCCTCTCCCGTCTGCCTCTCCGTCTGCCTCTCCCGTCTGCCTCTCCTGTCTGCCTCTCCCGTCTGCCTCTCCCGTCTGCCTCTCCCGTCTGCCTCTCCCGTCTGCCTCTCCCGTCTGCCTCTCCCGTCTGCCTCTCCCGTCTGCCTCTCCCGTCTGCCTCTCCCGTCTGCCTCTCCCTGTCTGCCTCTCCCGTCTGCCTCTCCCGTGTCTGCCTCTCCCGTGTCTGCCTCTCCCGTCTGCCTCTCCCGTCTGCCTCTCCCGTCTGCCTCTCCCGTCTGCCTCTCCCGTCTGCCTCTCCCGTCTGCCTCTCCCGTCTGCCTCTCCCGTCTGCCTCTCCCGTCTGCCTCTCCCGTCTGCCTCTCCCGTCTGCCTCTCCCGTCTGCCTCTCCCGTCTGCCTCTCCCGTCTGCCTCTCCCGTCTGCCTCTCCCGTCTGCCTCTCCCGTCTGCCTCTCCCGTTCTGCCTCTCCCGTCTGCCTCTCCCGTCTGCCTCTCCCGTGTCTGCCTCTCCCGTCTGCCTCTCCCGTCTGCCTCTCCCGTCTGCCTCTCCCGTCTGCCTCTCCCGTCTGCCTCTCCCGTCTGCCTCTCCCGTCTGCCTCTCCCGTCTGCCTCTCCCGTCTGCCTCTCCCGTCTGCCTCTCCCGTCTGCCTCTCCCGTCTGCCTCTCCCGTCTGCCTCTCCCGTCTGCCTCTCCCGTCTGCCTCTCCCGGTCTGCCTCTCCCGTCTGCCTCTCCCGTCTGCCTCTCCCGTCTGCCTCTCCCGTCTGCCTCTCCCGTCTGCCTCTCCCGTCTGCCTCTCCCGTCTGCCTCTCCCGTCTGCCTCTCCGTCTGCCTCTCCCGTCTGCCTCTCCCGTCTGCCTCTCCCGTCTGCCTCTCCCGTCTGCCTCTCCCGTCTGCCTCTCCCGTCTGCCTCTCCCGTCTGCCTCTCCCGTCTGCCTCTCCCGTCTGCCTCTCCCGTCTGCCTCTCCCGTCTGCCTCTCCCGTCTGCCTCTCCCGTCTGCCTCTCCCGTCTGCCTCTCCCGTCTGCCTCTCCCGTGTCTGCCTCTCCCGTCTGCCTCTCCCCGTCTGCCTCTCCGTCTGCCTCTCCCGTCTGCCTCTCCCGTCTGCCTCTCCCGTCTGCCTCTCCCGTCTGCCTCTCCCGTCTGCCTCTCCCGTCTGCCTCTCCCGTCTGCCTCTCCCGTCTGCCTCTCCCGTCTGCCTCTCCCGTCTGCCTCTCCCGTCTGCCTCTCCCGTCTGCCTCTCCCGTCTGCCTCTCCCGTCTGCCTCTCCCGTCTGCCTCTCCCGTCTGCCTCTCCCGTCTGCCTCTCCCGTCTGCCTCTCCCGTCTGCCTCTCCCGTCTGCCTCTCCCGTCTGCCTCTCTCGTCTGCCTCTCCCGTCTGCCTCTCCCGTGTCTGCCTCTCCCGTCTGCCTCTCCCGTGTCTGCCTCTCCCGTCTGCCTCTCCCGTCTGCCTCTCCCGTCTGCCTCTCCCGTCTGCCTCTCCCGTCTGCCTCTCCCGTCTGCCTCTCCCGTCTGCCTCTCCCGTCTGCCTCTCCCGTCTGCCTCTCCCGTCTGCCTCTCCCGTCTGCCTCTCCCGTCTGCCTCTCCCGTCTGCCTCTCCCGTCTGCCTCTCCCGTGCCTGCCTCTCCCGTGCCTGCCTCTCCCGTCTGCCTCTCCCGTCTGCCTCTCCCGTCTGCCTCTCCCGTGCCTGCCTCTCCCGTCTGCCTCTCCCGTCTGCCTCTCCCGTCTGCCTCTCCCGTCTGCCTCTCCCGTCTGCCTCTCCCGTCTGCCTCTCCCGTCTGCCTCTCCCGTCTGCCTCTCCCGTCTGCCTCTCCCGTCTGCCTCTCCCGTCTGCCTCTCCCGTGCCTGCCTCTCCCGTGCCTGCCTCTCCCGTCTGCCTCTCCCGTGCCTGCCTCTCCCGTGCCTGCCTCTCCCGTGCCTGCCTCTCCCGTGCCTGCCTCTCCCGTGCCTGCCTCTCCCGTGCCTGCCACTCCCGTGCCTGCCTCTCCCGTGCCTGCCTCTCCCGTGCCTGCCTCTCCCGTGCGTGCCTCTCCCGTGCCTGCCTCTCCCGTGCCTGCCTCTCCCGTGCCTGCCTCTCCCGTGCCTGCCTCTCCCGTGCCTGCCTCTCCCGTGCCTGCCTCTCCCGTGCCTGCCTCTCCCGTGCCTGCCTCTCCCGTGCCTGCCTCTCCCGTGCCTGCCTCTCCCGTGCCTGCCTCTCCCGTGCCTGCCTCTCCCGTGCCTGCCTCTCCCGTGCCTGCCTCTCCCGTGCCTGCCTCTCCCGTGCCTGCCTCTCCCGTGCCTGCCTCTCCCGTGCCTGCCTCTCCCGTGCCTGCCTCTCCCGTGCCTGCCTCTCCCGTGCCTGCCTCTCCCGTGCCTGCCTCTCCCGTGCCTGCCTCTCCCGTGCCTGCCTCTCCCGTGCCTGCCTCTCCCGTGCCTGCCTCTCCCGTGCCTGCCTCTCCCGTGCCTGCCTCTCCCGTGCCTGCCTCTCCCGTGCCTGCCTCTCCCGTGCCTGCCTCTCCCGTGCCTGCCTCTCCCGTGCCTGCCTCTCCCGTGCCTGCCTCTCCCGTGCCTGCCTCTCCCGTGCCTGCCTCTCCCGTGCCTGCCTCTCCCGTGCCTGCCTCTCCCGTGCCTGCCTCTCCCGTGCCTGCCTCTCCCGTGCCTGCCTCTCCCGTGCCTGCCTCTCCCGTGCCTGCCTCTCCCGTGCCTGCCTCTCCCGTGCCTGCCTCTCCCGTGCCTGCCTCTCCCGTGCCTGCCTCTCCCGTGCCTGCCTCTCCCGTGCCTGCCTCTCCCGTGCCTGCCTCTCCCGTGCCTGCCTCTCCCGTGCCTGCCTCTCCCGTGCCTGCCTCTCCCGTGCCTGCCTCTCCCGTGCCTGCCTCTCCCGTGCCTGCCTCTCCCGTGCCTGCCTCTCCCGTGCCGTGCCTCTCCCGTGCCTGCCTCTCCCGTGCCTGCCTCTCCCGTGCCTGCCTCTCCCGTGCCTGCCTCTCCCGTGCCTGCCTCTCCCGTGCCTGCCTCTCCCGTGCCTGCCTCTCCCGTGCCTGCCTCTCCCGTGCCTGCCTCTCCCGTGCCTGCCTCTCCCGTGCCTGCCTCTCCCGTGCCTGCCTCTCCCGTGCCTGCCTCTCCCGTGCCTGCCTCTCCCGTGCCTGCCTCTCCCGTGCCTGCCTCTCCCGTGCCTGCCTCTCCCGTGCCTGCCTCTCCCGTGCCTGCCTCTCCCGTGCCTGCCTCTCCCGTGCCTGCCTCTCCCGTGCCTGCCTCTCCCGTGCCTGCCTCTCCCGTGCCTGCCTCTCCCGTGCCTGCCTCTCCCGTGCCTGCCTCTCCCGTGCCTGCCTCTCCCGTGCCTGGCCTCTCCCCGTGCCTGCCTCTCCCGTGCCTGCCTCTCCCGTGCCTGCCTCTCCCGTGCCTGCCTCTCCCGTGCCTGCCTCTCCCGTGCCTGCCTCTCCCGTGCCTGCCTCTCCCGTGCCTGCCTCTCCCGTGCCTGCCTCTCCCGTGCCTGCCTCTCCCGTGCCTGCCTCTCCCGTGCCTGCCTCTCCCGTGCCTGCCTCTCCCGTGCCTGCCTCTCCCGTGCCTGCCTCTCCCGTGCCTGCCTCTCCCGTGCCTGCCTCTCCCGTGCCTGCCTCTCCCGTGCCTGCCTCTCCCGTGCCTGCCTCTCCCGTGCCTGCCTCTCCCGTGCCTGCCTCTCCCGTGCCTGCCTCTCCCGTGCCTGCCTCTCCCGTGCCTGCCTCTCCCGTGCCTGCTCTCCCGTGCCTGCCTCTCCCGTGCCTGCCTCTCCCGTGCCTGCCTCTCCCGTGCCTGCCTCTCCCGTGCCTGCCTCTCCCGTGCCTGCCCTCTCCCGTTGCCTGCCTCTCCCGTGCCTGCCTCTCCCGTGCCTGCCTCTCCCAGTGCCTGCCTCTCCCGTGCCTGCCTCTCCCGTGCCTGCCTCTCCCGTGCCTGCCTCTCCCGTGCCTGCCTCTCCCGTGCCTGCCTCTCCCGTGCCTCGCCTCTCTCCCGTGCCTGCCCTCTCCCGTGCCTGCCTCTCCCGTGCCTGCCTCTCCCGTGCCTGCCTCTCTCCGTGCCTGCCTCTCCCGTGCCTGCCTCTCCCGTGCCTGCCTCTCCCGTGCCTGCCTCTCCCGTGCCTGCTCTCCCGTGCCTGCCTCTCCCGTGCCTGCCTCTCCCGTGCCTGCCTCTCCCGTGCCTGCCTCTCCCGTGCCTCCTGCCTTCCCCTCCCGTGCCTGCCTCTCCCGTGCCTGCCCTCTCCCGTGCCTGCCTCTCCCGTGCCTGCCTCTCCCGTGCCTGCCTCTCCCGTGCCTGCCTCTCCCGTGCCTGCCTCTCCCGTGCCTGCCTCTCCCGTGCCTGCCTCTCCCGTGCCTGCCTCTCCCGTGCCTGCCTCTCCCGTGCCTGCCTCTCCCGTTGCCTGCCTCTCCCGTGCCTGCCTCTCCCGTGCCTGCCTCTCCCGTGCCTGCCTCTCCCGTGCCTGCCTCTCCCGTGCCTGCCTCTCCCGTGCCTGCCTCTCCCGTGCCTGCCTCTCCCGTGCTCCTGCCTCTCCCGTGCCTGCCTCTCCCGTGCCTGCCTCTCCCGTGCCTGCCTCTCCCGTGCCTGCCTCTCCCGTGCCTGCCTCTCCCGTGCCTGCCTCTCCCGTGCCTGCCTCTCCCGTGCCTGCCTCTCCCGTGCCTGCCTCTCCCGTGCCTGCCTCTCCCGTGCCTGCCTCTCCCGTGCCTGCCTCTCCCGTGCCTGCCTCTCCCGTGCCTGCCTCTCCCGTGCCTGCCTCTCCCGTGCCTGCCTCTCCCGTGCCTGCCTCTCCCGTGCCTGCCTCTCCCGTGCCTGCCTCTCCCGTGCCTGCCTCTCCCGTGCCTGCCTCTCCCGTGCCTGCCTCTCCCGTGCCTGCCTCTCCCGTGCCTGCCTCTCCCGTGCCTGCCTCTCCCGTGCCTGCCTCTCCCGTGCCTGCCTCTCCCGTGCCTGCCTCTCCCGTGCCTGCCTCTCCCGTGCCTGCCTCTCCCGTGCCTGCCTCTCCCGTGCCTGCCTCTCCCGTGCCTGCCTCTCCCGTGCCTGCCTCTCCCGTGCCTGCCTCTCCCGTGCCTGCCTCTCCCGTGCCTGCCTCTCCCGTGCCTGCCTCTCCCGTGCCTGCCTCTCCCGTGCCTGCCTCTCCCGTGCCTGCCTCTCCCGTGCCTGCCTCTCCCGTGCCTGCCTCTCCCGTGCCTGCCTCTCCCGTGCCTGCCTCTCCCGTGCCTGCCTCTCCCGTGCCTGCCTCTCCCGTGCCTGCCTCTCCCGTGCCTGCCTCTCCCGTGTCCTCCTCTCCCGTGCCTGCCTCTCCCGTGCCTGCCTCTCCCGTGCCTGCCTCTCCCGTGCCTGCCTCTCCCGTGCCTGCCTCCCGCCCTGCGCCCGGCATGCATGCCTTCCCTGTGGGGCCACACCACACCACAGCGCGCCTGGCGGGGGGGTCACTGGCGGCGGCCATCAGGGCGCCCGACATGTTTGCTCGAGTGTACCTCGCTCGCCTCTGTGCTGCCCTCGTGCACGCCTCCCAGATCTACGGTGCGCGCCACACCACCACCTCTGTTCTCACCTGCTGCTTCATGTGCAAATGTGTGCTGCGGTGCTGCCCTCCCTCCTGCCTTCTCCTCATATTGCATCATCTTGATGCTCTCGCTTGCTGGAATACGGCTTCCAGCATTCTCATATGGATCTTTCAATGGGGCTGAGCATGCTTGGGGCGTGTGTATGTGGGCATGGGGCGTGTGTGTGTGGGCATGGCATGGCTGATGGGCGGGTGCAGATAGAGCTGACTTCAGAGGGCTCTTCTCGGCGTTTCTCTTCCAGCTGCTCTACGATGCCAATGTGCGCGTCTGCCTCGAGGCCATCTGCTGCATCACTGCTGCTTTCTCCGCCAAAGTCGAACCCACGTGCGCCTCCTCTGCCCATCGCCTCACCTCTTCTCTGCACGCACTGCTACAACACCTTACTGTTCCCTTTTTCCGTTATCACATGTGATTGAGCCCGCCCAGTGACTGCTTCTCATCCAATCGTCCTCTCTGCGCGCCTCTTCCCTGCCCCACTCCCTCCCTTCACCGCCTGCAGAACGGCGCAGAGGGCGGATGGGTGGCAGATTCTGACCACCTCTCTCATGGACACGCGCGGGGCGGCCAGGGACCTTGCGGGCGGCAAGGCCGGCGGCTCCAAGGAGAAGGAGGCCATGCCCCTGCCGCCCTCCTACGACCTCGTGCTCAAGGTGCTGCTCTCACACCTAATACTTTGAACTGTAGAATGACTTTCGCCAGCGAAAGCTGTATTGTATCCTAATCGAAGCACACCAATTGCTTCACCAGCTAACGATCAGATCCCCGATGCAGACGTCACCGAAGGCAGAAATTCCTCACTCATAACTGCTTCCATTGCATTTCGCTGTCATCTCTCCACCACCCCGAGTCGCCTTTCCTCTCGCGGATATGTCTCCCGTCAAGACCCATCTTTTTATTTCGTGGTCCGCACCTCCTTTGAATCTTTCCCCCTAGAATTCGCAAATTCTTTCTCCTTCCGACCGTGCCGTAGCGTGCTTGTGTCCGTGCCTCATCGCTACGATCACCTCGCGCCATTCACCCCCGCGACGATGCCACCATGCGACGACGGGATGGGAGACGAGGGGAATGGGAGGAGCCGTTATGAACGGGCTAGATTAGGCGGGTGAGAGGCGCGTGAGAGGCACTGCGTTGCTGACAGTTTCTTTTGCAGCTTGCTAGCACACCGCAACTAGTCGAGAATGCTAGTAGTAAGCTAGTCGGGGTGGTGGAGAGATGACAGCGAAATGCAGTGGAAGCAGTTGAGTGAGGAATTTCTGCCTTCGGTGACGTCTGCATCGCGGATCTGACCGTCACACGGTGAAGCAATTGGTGTGCTTCGGTTAGGATACAATACAGCTTTCGCTGGCGAAAGTCATTCTACAGTTCAACAGCTAGATCAAGGTGCCAGCTTGGGGGCTCTGCGCTCACTGTGTTCCCTTTTTCCATCCCCGCTCTCCCCCGTCATTAACTGGTGGTACACGGCATTGACGAAGCACTGCACCGCACTGTTGAGTTGACTCACAAGTCGCTCCTTCATCCCCCACCCATCCCCCTCCTCTCCCCCCCTTCCCCCCTCCCCAGGTGGTGGCGCATCGGGTGGACTATGCGCTGCGCAGCACATCACGCCCCATGCTGCACGCGGCGCTGAGGGCGGTGGCGGAGGTGGGCAAGGCGCGCGCGGCAGCACTCTCGCTGGGGCTCTTCACGGAGGCGCCAACCCTGCCACAGGACGACGCATCTGACTTCCAGCAGGGTTTGTGCGCCGCCCTCTCCGTGCCCTCTCTCTCGCCCCCTTTGCTCGTTGCTGCTCTACCTCCGCTCGTTACACTTGGATTCTGTGTGGTGGGTGGGGTGTGTGTCCTTGTGTGTGCGAGTGCTGACAAGTGTGAAGTGTGTGTGTGTGCGTGCGCAGCGATGGGCAAGCAGGCGGCCTCCAAGGAGAAGGTGACGGTGGACTCGCTGCTGGCAGCCCTCATGGAGGCCGTGCGCTGCACCGTCGCCTGCGAGTGCGTCTACGTGCGCGCTCAGGCAAGTCCACTTCACTGCGCGCCCAGGCAAGTCCACATGCGCCCAGGCAAGTCCACATGTGTGTTTTGGCCTTTTTGTGAGGCAAGCTATGAAAACATTTTTGCGATTCTGCTTTGTGCTGCTGGTATGCACATGTGGGTGCGGGCGGGGTGGCAGGCGCTGAAGGCGATGATATGGATGCAGAGTGAGTACGAGTCGAGCGCGGAGCTCAAGGCCACGCTGCTGGGCGAGCTGGACGACCCCGCCTGGCCCGCCGCTCTCCTCAACGACCTCCTTCTCACCCTGCACGCGCGCTTCAAGGTAACTCCCTGCACGCGCGCTTCAAGGTAACTCCCTGCACGCGCGCTTCAAGGTAACTCCCTGCACGCGCACTGCAAGGCGGCTCCCCTTCCGTAGCTTCCATGCATGCATGCGTCCATGCTCACTGCGAGCCCCCATTCCTGATTGCCCCAATGCCTCGATCCCTGCCCCCATGCCCACCAGGCCACGCCAGACATGGCAGTCACCATTCTGGACCTCGCCAGCCTCTTCGTCACAAGGGTGCCTTCCAAAGTCGACACCACCACCCTGCAGGCGCTCTGGAAGGTGCTCCCCCTTGCTTCCCTCCCTCACTTCCCCTCCCCGCTCTCTCTCCCCGCTCCCTCTCCCCGCTCCCTCTCCCCGCTCCCCCTCATCGCTCCCTCCCTTCGTTCTTTTCTCCTCCCGTTCCTTCAACTCTTTCGTTCTGGCATCTCTGCATAAACCCCGGGCGTGCACTCAGTGTCCATCAGTCTAGAGTTGTCAAGAATTATTATTTTTTCACACCCTCCCACCCGCCTCGCGCACCCCACCCACTCCCATGGATGTCCTTGGGGCCCCACCCCCCCTTCCTCCCGCGCCCTTGGCAGACGTGTCTGGTGGGGTGTGGTCCGCAGGGCAAGCATCTGGCGCTGGAGGCCGTCAGCACCGTGCTCGACCTGCCTCCCCCGCCGCCGCCCCAGCTGCCCTCCTCTCACGGCGCTGCTGCTGTCAGCGCAGCGCCCATCTCACACCCGCGCTCCGCCATCGCCCTCCAGCGCATCACCCACGCCGCTGTACGCCCTCTCTGTTGGTGTTCCTTTTGATAACTCTCCCTCTGAGTAACGCCATACGCCCCCTCGTTGCTGCTGCTTCACCTCACCTCCCTCTTCCCCCCGCTCTATTCCCTCTCTCTTTCTCCCGATCTATTGGCTCCATATCTTTCCGCCGTACGTGCCCCGTCTCTTGCCCCACTGCCCGCTTCTCTCCTCTGTGCCTGCCACAGTGGCAGTGCCACCTGCCACCTCAAGCCCTTTCCACACACTCCTCTCTGCTCTTCCCATTCCTCTCTGCTCCAAGCACTCCTTCAACGCCCTCCGCAACCCCGCCCTTCCCACCACTACACAACCCCTGCCACACCTCTCCTATCTGCCTTCTCGTCCTGCCCTTCCCCTTCCCCTTCCCCTTCCCCACTCCACCCATCGCCTCCTGCAGATCTGGTTTCTGGGGGAGAACGCCAACTTTGCGGCGGGCGAGTACGCGTGGGAGAGTGCGACGCCGCCCGGGGCGGCGCTGATGCTGCTGGACGCGGAGAGCATGGTGGCGGCGGCCGGCGTGCGCAACCCCACGCTCGCCCAGGCCATGCAGCGCCTGCAGCGCACCGCCACCACCGGTGCCTGGGAGGTCAGCTAGGGGGGTGGTGTAAGGGGTGGGGAGTGGGGAGAGGGGAGGGGAGCAGGGGAATGCAAGGGGAAGGTTGCTTAAGGAGAGAAAAGGAGGGTTCATCGTTGGTGTGAGGCCAATCGTTAGCAGTGGCAGCAGTTCAAGGAGCGATGGTGAATAAAAGCTCCACACTCACAAGCTTTCTTCTCGTTTTCCTCTCTTGCTCCACTGTGCTTCTCTGCCTTGTTCACCTCTTTTTTCTCCTCCCCGCCCCCCCTTCCCCTGCACTTTGCTTTTCCCACATAACATTTCCCCCCTCTCACCGTGCTCCCCCCTGGGCGGCCATGGGTGGCATGGCAGGACCGGGTGGTGGCGGTGTATGCGCTGATGACGGTGGCGCTGCGCTCAGGCGAGCCGTACCGCCTGCAGATCTACGAGTTCTTCCACGCCCTCTTCTACGGTGGTGGCTCCTCCCGCAAGGCAACTCCAACGCCCCCCGCCCCGCCCCGCACACTCTCGCATCGCTGCCTCCTGTCCTCTCCGTTCCCCCTCTCGTCATGTCTTGCTCATTCTCCCAGCCTGGCGGTTTGGAAACCCGAGCCTCAGGCGCATTAATGCATGGCAGCACTGCCTGCCATGGAATGGAATGGCATGTGCGCGCATGGCATGGCATGGAATGGCAGGTGCGGGGCATGGCGCTGGGCGTGTCGAACGGCGAGGACAGGGGCGCCAGTGGCACGGGGCTGGGGGGCATCATTGCACCGATGCTGAGAGTGCTGGATGAGATGTACCGCTGCCAGGATGTCATGATGCGGTGAGTAGATGTCATGATGCGGTGAGTGGGATGTCATGATGCGGTGAGTGGCATGTCATGATGCGGTGAGTGGCATGTCATGATGCGGTGAGTGAGATGCCGTGTGGTTTGAGTGGGTGGTCAGTCAAAAGAAAGTATTCCTTGAGCAAGGCAGTGGCCTTTGGTCTCTCCATCTCGCCTCTAACCTCTCCACCTCGCTCTCCGTCCCTTGCCCGTCCCTCCACAGGGACATTCGGCTGCACGAGTTCAGTGGGGAGGAGTGGCAGGAGGAGCAGCTGGAGCGCATATACGACATGCATGAGCGCCTCATGGACCTCGCGCTGCTCTTCTGCTTCGTGCCGCGCCACAAGTACCTCCCCCTCGGCCCCATGAGGCAAGTACCTCCCCCTCCGCCCCATGAGGCAAGTACCTCCCCCTCCGCCCCATGAGGCAAGTTCCTTTCCTTCACTGCAACCATCAGTTTTCTATCACTGCATTTATGGCTTTTTGGCTCATCCGTGTTCCTCACCTTCCCCCCTCGCCCTCCCTTGCCAGTGCGCGGCTGACAGCGCAGTACCGGGCGCGGCGGGGGATGGAGGCGGGGGTGGGGCGCAGTGAGGCGGAGCTGAGGGCCACTCTCGAGGGGCTGCTGCGCCACACCGGCTCCGCCCCCAAGGACGCCGCCGTCTTCCCCCCGCTCACCCTCCTCGAACCCCTCGCTGACTTCCCCACTGCCAACACCCTCAAGGTGGGTGGTCCTGAGGAGAGGGCAGAGGCAAGAGAGGCAGAGGCAGGTGTTGGTTCCAAAGGTGAAGGACAGTGTGCTGGATTACTGGAGTATCTGTCAGTGTTGACGGGAATGTGGCCCCGCCCTCGCTTGGGCGAAGCCGACTTCGCAATCGGGTGCACGGGAGGTGCAGCCGGCTGCCAGCAGTGGTCGACCCCAACTTGGGTGAGCAAGTCAACAGACTTGGTCGACTTGCTCGGGACCACTGCGAAGCCGCCATCGAGGGAGGTCGGCGGTCGACTTCAACCACTATGGTCGACGATGGGGTTCGTCGACCTGGGGGGGGCGCCTACTTGTGGGCTCCGACTTGAGGGCGTCGGGGACATTACCCGGTCGACAGTGTAACAAGGGCGGCGAGGTCCTGCGGAGGTGGCGGACGTCACCCAGGAGGTTTTGGCGAAGCCGACCTCGAGTTGCTATTCCGAAGTCGACGTGGCTCATCAGGCGCAACCGTCGGCACGTGGCTGACTTGGCACCTGCGCAATGTCCGGGGCAATGCACAACGTGCACAACAGCCTACACGCACCTGCGAAGTGGGTGCGTACATGCGTTATGGTCACACGCGGTTGCAACGCTGGCAGACCGCCCTGCTGCAGCGCTGGCACGCCAACTTGGTGCAGCGCTGGCAGGTCGCCGACTTGCAGCGCTGGCAAGCCGCCTTCGAGCTGCGTTGGCATGCCGCCGACTTGCGGTGTTCGCAGGTCGCCGACTGTGCTGCGCTGGCAGTCGACCTGCCTGTCTGCTAGGCTGTATCGGATGTAGTCATTCTTGCCATTGCTATTGCTATCATTGTGTAATCATTTTTCGGCCCTCACTCGTTGCCTCTTATTCTCACTTCCTGCCCAGGTGACGGACATGCTGGGCGGCGGTGGTGACGAGAGCCTGTCGGTGCCGGCAACGCCGCGGCGGTACGAGGGCATGGCGAGTGCGTTTGATGCGGTGGCGGGCGACACAGGCATGGCCAGCACCTTTGATGACGTTTACGCGTCGTCGCTGCTCGAGGCTGATGATGATGCTGAGGTGCCCTGCTCTCATGCTCCTCATGCTTCCCTGCCCTCATTCGCGCTTTGCTCCCATAGCATGGTAATGCTGTCCTTTACTTCCTGCATCATCCTTCCTCCCCTCAACTCTGTCTTTCTCCCTGTCCCCTACCCCCCACCCCCCTTTCGTTCCGCCATGGTATCAGAGCGAGGTGTCGGACGGCTCGGCATCGCCCACGGCGTCCACCACAGCAGAGGCGTTTGGCAACATCCGCAACTGGGTCCGCCCGCACGCACCTCTCTCCAACCAACTTCTCCCCCTGCCTTCCGTTATTTCTGTCTTTTGTTGCCACTGCTGCCATTTCTTGCCCTGCTGCCTCTCTCTCTCGCTGCCGCCTCTCTGCTACCCACGCGATCTCTGCTGCCTGTCTACACAGTATCCATTTTTTCCCCGATGTTCGTCCACGCAACTCTGTGCTGAGCTTGCAACTCTGCCATGGCTGCTGTGCTTTCTGCCTGTCTATTATCTGTGCTGTCCTTGCAACTCTGCCATGGCTGCTGTGCTTTCTGCCTGTCTATTATCTGTGCTGTCCTTGCAACTCTGCCATGGCTGCTGTGCTTTCTGCCTGTCTATTATCTGTGCTGTCCTTGCAACTCTGCCATGGCTGCTGTGCTTTCTGCCTGTCTATTATCTGTGCTGTCCTTGCAACTCTGCCATGGCTGCTGTGCTTTCTGCCTGTCTATTATCTGTGCTGTCCTTGCAACTCTGCCATGGCTGCTGTGCTTTCTGCCTGTCTATTATCTGTGCTGTCCTTGCAACTCTGCCATGGCTGCTGTGCTTTCTGCCTGTCTATTATCTGTGCTGTCCTTGCAACTCTGCCATGGCTGCTGTGCTTTCTGCCTGTCTATTATCTGTGCTGTCCTTGCAACTCTGCCATGGCTGCTGTGCTTTCTGCCTGTCTATTATCTGTGCTGTCCTTGCAACTCTGCCATGGCTGCTGTGCTTTCTGCCTGTCTATTATCTGTGCTGTCCTTGCAACTCTGCCATGGCTGCTGTGCTTTCTGCCTGTCTATTATCTGTGCTGTCCTTGCAACTCTGCCATGGCTGCTGTGCTTTCTGCCTGTCTATTATCTGTGCTGTCCTTGCAACTCTGCCATGGCTGCTGTGCTTTCTGCCTGTCTATTATCTGTGCTGTCCTTGCAACTCTGCCATGGCTGCTGTGCTTTCTGCCTGTCTATTATCTGTGCTGTCCTTGCAACTCTGCCATGGCTGCTGTGCTTTCTGCCTGTCTATTATCTGTGCTGTCCTTGCAACTCTGCCATGGCTGCTGTGCTTTCTGCCTGTCTATTATCTGTGCTGTCCTTGCAACTCTGCCATGGCTGCTGTGCTTTCTGCCTGTCTATTATCTGTGCTGTCCTTGCAACTCTGCCATGGCTGCAGTGCTTTCTGCCTGTCTATTATCTGTGCTGTCCTTGCAACTCTGCCATGGCTGCAGTGCTTTCTGCCTGTCTATTATCTGTGCTGTCCTTGCAACTCTGCCATGGCTGCTGTGCTTTCTGCCTGTCTATTATCTGTGCTGTCCTTGCAACTCTGCCATGGCTGCAGTGCTTTCTGCCTGTCTATTATCTGTGCTGTCCTTGCAACTCTGCCATGGCTGCTGTGCTTTCTGCCTGTCTATTATCTGTGCTGTCCTTGCAACTCTGCCATGGCTGCTGTGCTTTCTGCCTGTCTATTATCTGTGCTGTCCTTGCAACTCTGCCATGGCTGCTGTGCTTTCTGCCTGTCTATTATCTGTGCTGTCCTTGCAACTCTGCCATGGTTGCGTGTCCTGTGCTGTGCTGCCTCAACTCATTTTGCTGATTGTGTTTGTGTGTTTTGACCCGCATGCGCCTTGTGCTCGCCTGGGGACTGCATGTCCTGCGGCGTCACTCTCTCTGCACTGCCAGGATGAGGAGAGCCTGTCAGGCGACAAGGGGGCAAGCGGAGCATCAGCAGGGCAGTCGGTATGTGCTGGCACTTGTGCCAACCGTTGTTTCACATGCGTGCACTTGCAGTCATCCGGTCCTCCCGCGTTGGAGTATTTCCACTCTTGTTGCTCTGTTCACACTCACTACACACTCACTACACACACACGCGTGCGCGCGCTCGCCCACACGCACACTAACACTCACCCACTCATGACCGCCTCCCACATGCCTCTGCACCCCCACCCCGCACCCTGCCCGCCATCCGCCCTCCCTTGTGTGTGTGCACCGCGGTGCCACGGGCAGGCGGCGCAGGCAGGGCGGGGGAGGGGGGGCGAGGAGGAGGAGGACGAGGGGTACGACTACGAGGCGGAGCTGCGCAGGCGGGCAGGCGACAGCGGCGCAAAGCAGCGAGGCCGCGCGCTCTACGCCTTTATTGCAGGCGATGAGGACGAGGTGAGGGGGAGGGAGGGGAGGGGTGATTGCGTGTATCTCTGCTCGTGCCTGCACAGCCCATGCATCCACCGGCCCCTCTTCCGCCCGTCCCCACCCCCTCGCAATCCGTGCTCTCTCCTCACCGGCCCCTCTTCCGCCCGTCCCCACCCCCTCGCAGCTGTCACTGAGTGTGGGGGAGGAGGTGGAGATAGAGTACGAGGCGGACGGGTGGTACCATGCCAGGAAGCTCAACCCCGCTGCCGATGGCAAGCAGGCGGGTTTCGTGCCCGTGCTCTACCTTGACACGCGCTGATGCCTCTGCCTCCACCACACCATCTTCCCAAATTATCGGGTCCATCACCTGTGCCATGAAGTGTGTATGAATATACGTACATACATATCTAGCAATTTCCGATGTGTGCGCACCAACTGCACATTGCACATTAGCTGCCGGCTTCAAAGGCACCAACTGGTTCCCTCTGACACCACTAAGCCATGCATGGACCCTACACGAATTGTTTCTTATTCTCCAACAAGAGAATTGCACAACTGTGCAGTAAATCTAGGTCCAGGTGTACATGCACCACTGTAAATAGATTTACACTACAGCATCGGTGCATAACAAAACAACAATGCTTTCCACATTGATGCTACACTATCCGCCAGCTGCCTTCCCCCCAACCATCTAGCATCATTCAACCTGGGGCAGTGGCGCATGTTAGCGTCAGAATGAGAACAGCGGAAATGATGTGTGATTAGCAGCAGTGAGATACAAGTATGCAACCCTAAACGAGTTGTACCCTATAGCGTACAAGCATATAATGCAGTTTGACACACCCCTATAGGCAAAGTGCGGGAAAACAAGAATAACCAACGGTCACAAGACCAGTCAAGCAAAGAAGCAAAGCAAAGCAAAGCTTAGGGTGCATCACCTCACCACGCACTTTGAGCACAAGCAAGTGGCCACAAGGCCAGTTCACAAGCAGAGTTACAAAAGCACAAGCAGTACAGTGAACACAACCTAGCAAGAGTAAGCATGCAGGTATATATATAGATCACAGTACAAGGCAAAGTCAAGTAGTAAGCAAGTGAAGCAAAGTAGGCACTAGGCCTAGAGCAGTGCAGAAACGCTGATGATCACCAGACACAAGTGCCTTGGTGAAAATATCAGCAGTGTTGGCCCGTGAGGCCACGTAAGCAAGGCGAAGCTGACCACGCCGCTGTAATTATCGAGCGAGGAAGTAACGAAGAGCAAGGTGCTTCGTTCTGTGCTCCACTCTCTGCTCCCGACACAAGGCAATCGAGGCCTTGTTGTCCACATACAGAACCGGAGTAGAACGAGGCCGCTCACCCAAGCCAGTCAGCAAGTAGGCTAGCCAGCATAACTCTTGTGCAGCCATGCCCCCCGCGTAGATCTCAGCCTCACAACTGGAGCTAAGAACAGAAGACAAGCGGGTGGACCTCCAGGAGATAGATTCAGAGCTGAGACTGAAAGTGTAACCTGTGACGACCGCTGAGTCGCCTGGTCGTCGGCCCAAGAAGTGTCTGAGTATTCTGTGAGTACAACTAAGCCCCGTCCTCCAAGCACAAGCCCCATGCCCGATGTACTGCACAAGTAACGCAGCACCCTAGCAGCCCACCAGTGCTCTGGTCGGTGTGTCCCGGGCGCAACGTAGCGCGCCAGGATGCTGAGAGGGTACGCGAGGTCAGGTCGAGTGCAAGTCATCAGGTACATGAGGCAGCCCAAAAGCTCTGGAAACTGACCACTCGGCTCTACGGACTCGTCCGAAGGTGGAGTTGAGAGCGAGTGGCCTGTAGGCAGAGGAGTGGACTGTGGCGAGGAGAACTGGAAGCCGAAGCGCTGAAGGACCTGGTGCACCGTGTGTGACCAGGGCTAATTTTTGGTTTTGAGCAACCCTTGTGATCAGTGTTGCACCTGTTCAAAAACCTGATTATCAGTGTGACACCACCTTCAAACCCTGATCCATCAATTTTTTTCTTGTTTTTGAAAATCCAACCCTGTGGCATCAGTGTACCAGTTTAGCAAACCCTAATGAATTGATATTATCGTTGCACACAATATTTTTTTTAGATCATCATACATGCCACATGGGTGTTGCTCGTCGTCAGTTACTTCAGCAGGCTGAAATTCCGGTTTCGACAGTTGGCAATCGGGAATCCCGGGTTACGGGAAAGGGGGGGTGGGGGAAGTGGGGGGGGGTATGGTACTCGCTTCAGGGTAAAACTCGTTATGAAGAACGGTAACCCTGAGGCATCTGTGTGCCTTAAATGTAAACCCTGGCATATCAGGAAAATCCTAGCTCCACAAAAAATTACCGTAGGCCATCAGTGTGACTACCAAAAACCACCCTGATAATCAGGGTATCAGGGTGATTTACACTGATAAAATTAGCCCTGTGTGTGACTGAGTCAGAGTGATGGTGCGCCGTGCCCTGTCCCGGATGATCTGCAAGCCAAGATAGCTGCACAGCTCACCCATGTCAGTGCAGGTGTGTCTCTCCTGCAGCTCCGCGTTCACAAGGGACAGTGCCTCAGTGTTAGCAGTAGCAAAGACCAAGTCGTCGACGTACACGAGGATGTAGAACGGCGGCAGAGAAGGGTCGTTGCGCAGACACAGCGACGGGTCAGCAATCGAAGGAGCAAACCCAAGAGCCAAAAGTGTAGTCCTCAGTGTGTCGAGCCACTCGCGGGGCGCCTGACGGAGACTGTAGACTGGCCGCCGAAGGCTGCACTGGGTATCCTCATGAAACGACCCAGTGAAGCCAGTTGGGCGGCGCAGCCAGATCTCCTCGTGAAGCCTGCCCTCCAAGAAAGATGTGCTGAAGTCAAGCGAGTGGAGCTCGTAGTCACGCTGTGCTGCAACGTGGAGTAACACCCAAAGAGTGGTCATCTTTGGGGTGGGGGAGAAGGTCTAGAAGAAGTCGACCCCCTGTCGCTGACTGAAGCCTCGTGCAACGTAACGCGCCTTGAAGGCAGGCGGAGAACCCGGCGGCCGCTTTACCCACATGCCATCGACTATGTTCGCCCCAGGAGGGGGAACCTCGTCGACGTAGGTGCCTGTGGACTTCCAACACGCTCAGTGACTAAGGCAGATGCAGCAGTAGGCGCAAAGGAAGGGTCAGTGACAAATGTGGCCAGGACACGCGTGACAGTAGGACTAGCAGCACGAGCAAGGTCAGACTCAGGGTCAAGAACGTCAGGAAGAGAAGACGCAGGAGGCGATGGCAGGACCACACGCTCTGGAACAGAGGAAGGACGAAGTGCCATAGTGTGAGTGCCGAGGACAGGTGGAGGGCGAGCACGAGGAGCACGACAAGTACGAACAGGCGTGACAGGACGCGACGCAGGCTCTCTACTCTCAGTCAGGGACTCTGTCACCTCAGTGTAAGGAGCAGGAGCATGCAGTGGGGAGTCAGGCAGTAACAGTGGTAGAGACGTGTCAGCCGGTGGAAACAGTAACGGAGGAGTAGTACCAGCAACAGGGAACTCAGTAACGGCATGCGGGAGACCGAGAAGGTGGCGAAGCGCAGACAACTACTGCTGAGTAGTCGCACCCCCAGAACCGCCAATGACGGGTCCGGCAGGACCTCCAGCACTAGCACCTCCAGCTGCAGCAGTACCAGCACCCCCAGCACCAGCAGCTCCAGCTCCGCACCGGGGCTGCCCCACCGGACAGCCCACTCGCGAAGCTGCTGCGGCGAGAGAGTCTCCTGGCGACGTGCACCAGGACCTCCAGCATTAGCACCTCCAAGACCTCCAACTCCAGCACCCCAGCACCAGCACCTCCAGCACCAGCACTTCCAGCACCAGCACCCCTAGCACCAGCACCTCCAGCACCAGCACCAGCACCTCCAGCACCAGCACCTCCTGCACCAGCACCTCCAGTACCAGCACGTTCAGCGCCAGCACCCCCAGCACCAGCACCCCCAGCACCAGCACCTCCAGCACCAGCACCTCTAGCACCAGCACCTCCAGCACCTCCAACACCAGCGCCAGCACCTCCAGCACCTCCAGCACTAGCGCCTCCAGCACCCCAAGCTCCGCCACCGGGGCTGCCCCACCGGACAGCCGACTCGCGAAGCTGCTGCGGCGAGAGAGGCTACTGTCGACGAGACTGCTGCTGCTGTCCACCGCCAGAACCTCCAGCAGTAGCACCCACTACTCCACCACCACTAGTACAGTCAGCACCCCCAGTGTCAGCACCCCTAGAACCAGCACCCCCAGAGTCCTCACCTCCAGTGTCACCACCCCCAGCAGCACCGGAGTCTACAGCGACTGGCTGAAGAGGCGGCAAAGACGGCCGAGGCGGAAAACCAGGAGGGGTCTCCAAGCGCGGTGATTGGCGAGTGGCCGCTGTGTCGTCAGCAGCAGCGTCACCCCCCTCAGCTGGGCCAGAGGTGTCAGAGGAGACCTCCGAAGGCTCAACCAAGGGGGGTGGATCTACCTGAGACACACATGAGGGAGAAGGACCCTGTGGGGGGAGAGGGTCTACCGGGGGGGGACCTGGAACCAGGAAGAGAGGCGAGGGGGGGGGCGCTGGGGAAGTGCTGTGGGGGTGGAGACGGTAGAAGCAAACAAACTCGTCGAAGGTGACGTCCTGGGAGGACAGGACGCTGCGTGTGGCAGGGTGGTAAAACTGCCAGGGCCAGGTGTCGGTAGGAAAGCCAAGGAAGACGCAGCGGAGAGTGCGAGGAGAGAGCTTGCTCCTAGCAGGATCGCGGACAAAGGCAAGCGAGCCCCAGACCCGAAACGCCGACGCATCGCCAACCTCTCCCGTCCAACGCAGTGTAGGCGAGGTCTATGGCACAGAGACACGGGGCCAGAGGTTGAGCTGAGGCGCGGCGTATCGGACCGCAAACGGTCACAGAAATGGGGAGCAGCCGCATGGATTAAGGAGGTGCGAGCAACCTCCATGATCAAGCCAATGCGACATTCAACAATCCCATTCTGCTGTGGAGAGGCCGGAAGCGTGAACGACAGGGCGATGCCCTCCTCAAGGAGGCGGGAGGAAACTCACCGCCTCTGTCACAGTGCAGTCGCAGGACCTGAAGGTCCTGCTGAAATCGTGCGCTCAGCTGGCGACGAACAGTGCGGATCCAGGGTATCAAAACACTGCGGACATCCGCCTTGCTCTACAAGGGGAAGACCGTGGTGTAGCGCGTGTAGTTGTCAACAACCAGCAGAAAGTAGAGCTCGTGGTCCTGTTCACGGACGCAGGCAGGGCCCCACACGTCCATGTGGAGACTCTGCAGAGGAGTAGTGGTCGGAGGAAACGAGGAGTGAGGAGTGGCG